TAAATGCCACAAACCAAAACTCAGATAGTTGAAGAATGAAATACGAAATATGTGCCCAAGTGCGCGCAACTGCAGCTGCCATATCTGCCGCGTCTGCCGACCTCTTCATGTAACCGCACCACAAAATGCGCTGCCAATGTGCCAGCGGCCCACGGCAACAACTTTTCCTGATGCCGCAGCCTTCTGATGCTGATGCTGCTCCGGCTCCAGCTCCAGCTCCTCCTCATGGCAATGCTGGTGCTGATGCGGACGCCGATGCCACTTGCCAACTAGCGTGCGATATTGATGTGTGCGAAATATGCCAAATATCAGTGTGCAGGGCGAGCAACAACAGCAACAACTTCTCGTGCAACTACAACAAGGACACGGCCCATACATTTTACATATTTTAGTTGCGTGGAGCTCAAGTGGATATGTGTGCGTGCGTGTGAGTGTGTGTGTGTGTGTCTGCTGCCAAATCAAGCGCAAGCCGAAAAGCAGCAACGAATAAAATTTTATGCGCTGTGCAAAAAGTTTTTCTTTTGCATAACAGAGACAATAATAACAACAACAAGAGCATCAGGCTACGGCAATTTTCATGTACAATGTAAAAGTTTCGATTTTATTGTATGTGTGTGTGTGTATGTGCGTGTAAGTATTGGGTCAAAGACATGGGGGTATGCTGCTATAGTTGGTCTTCGTTGCCGCTGTTTGAGCTGTCGGTTCGTTTTATAGAGGGATATGTACTCTATACTCACACTCGGGCACTGCAGAGCGATAAATACGATACAAAGTCAATCGCAATGGCGATGGAAATGAAAATGGAAATGGCGCTGCTCTCTACATCCACGCCCACTATAACTGCAGGCGCGCAAAAGTCAGAAATAGTTTCATCCGTCACTTATTGTATTTACAACGCGCTCCTTTTTTAAATGATAACCGCAACGGACCCAACGATTTATGTTTGCTATGTCATGGGCAGCGAGGAGTACTGTCATTTCCGAGCCTTTGAATAAAGTTCGACTGCTACCGAATCTGTATTGAAGATGAACTAATAATGAAGATTGTTTGTTAATCAGAATGTCAGGGAAAACCCGTCTGATCATGGAGATCGAAAAGCGTGTTGAGGAGACACTATTGAGCTAATTTTCAGTGTATAAAGGTACCGCAATAAAGGGCAAGATATAATTGCAGCATCAACTTGAACCGAATAGACAGAAATTCTTAAGTGATAAATTTCTAAAGAAGTGGTTTCGATCCGAAGATGGGGACTAAAGGATTAAGAAAGCAGCCAAATATATATATTTTTTAACAGAGTTTTTTTTTTCTTTCTGGGCATCTGGAAAGCAATGCTTTAAATCTGTTTGTCTGTACTCGTATATAGTTCTAAACTGCTTACTAATTTGTTTATGTATATTTATATATTTGCTTTAAAATTTCTGACACATTCATTAAACTGTTTTTATTTAACAATTAATCTCACACTGTCTGTCCGAAACGAATCGAAGCGTTAGCCAGTCGTTTCTTTTTCTCACTGCTGGATCTCGAAAATAGTAAGAATTAGAAGTACGACTGTATGATAGGAAATACAATTGCAGAACACATCCATTTTACTAAATACTAGCTATATCCATTATAGACACTTTCGACCGCATTGCACGCTTCGTCGCTGTTTAAATAATTGCCACATTTGATCAATCCTATTCCGTCGTCTCTTGCTATCGATGCAAATAAATAGCAACAATTTAAAGCGTGGTGTCGAGCCACTCCAATTGCCAATGCTGCTCATTCATCCTCTCTACCTACGAACTCGTATGTGGTCAGGGGGTGTGCGGGGGCATTCTAATGCAGTTTATATCCACAATTTAGCATCTGAAGCGTTTGCAGACGCAATGAAGCGCGTAATTTGCATATTGTCGGCTATTTGATGCAATTGCATAACGAGTATGGGTAACCGGATTCAATTGACTTGTTGTTCTTGTTGGGCAAGAATCAAATGAAGTGATTGGAGCAAAATTGCCAAAGTAAATAGTTTGAGCTATATTTTTAATATATATTAAATAAATGCCACTTTATTTTTGAACACCATTATTATAAGGCAAAGATGGCCATATTATTATTTACGATTACAAAACAATGGGTTCAATCGTTTGTTCAAGTAGACGATCCTATTCTACTTGATATTTTGGCTTAACAAGTATTTACAACGAGGCCGGAGAGTATTGTTATTGTATCATGAGAACGTAATACTAGGTTTGTGAAGTCTATAATTATTCTGATAAGAGGAAGTGAAATAATCAAACGCTTGGATTGCTGACCTCAGTTGACCGATTTCGTACGCTTCTTTATCTTCATTTCTTTTCTTGTTGGAACACAGTTCAATTAACAGGTTGAATGAAAGCAATCTTTTAATAAATTAACTGTGATCGAATCCACTACAATGAAGCTGGAAAATACTTACGGATTTCGCATTTAGCACACTGTACAACGAAAACTGTTAAATAATATTTAATGGTGTGGACAATAGGCTAACCACAACTCGTCACATTTGTCGCCTCGAAATGGCTGATAAATGTTGCACAACAACGACAAAATCAAAATAAAAAATTATTGTGCAGTGGGGCTAGAACAATTTGCGACCATAGCCAACCCAAAATGACCTCAACTCGTCATCGTCAACAGCGTCGGAAAATGTATTAGCAGCCTGACAGTTTAAATTTTCACAGCGTGCAATTTTGTGCCAGTTTTGCAGGACTTTTGTTTTATTCCACGCTTTTTCTTAGCCAGGAAACACAACGAACTGCCAAATGGCTTGCGCAAAGCGGAAGAAAAACTAAAACAAATGTCAGTCGTAGTTGACGCGTTGCCTTCCGCCCGTTACCCGTTCCTCGTTCCCCGTTGCCCGTTCTCCCACACCCGTCACCCAACCGCCAACAACCACCAGTCGGCTGCCGGCTGCCGGCAGCTGCAGTGAAATGCAAATGTCATTTGCAGTTGACACTTGACTCAGCACTTCGCACTGTCCTAGGGCACTTTGGGGTTTTCACCTGCCGACGCTGTACTTGTTGTACTTGTTGGTGCAATAAGCGGGAGACATAGAAATAAAAAAATGATAATAAAAGTTACGAGCAGAAAAAAACACACACTTCATACACACACACACACACACACACACTAATGCCAGGTTAGCACGGATAAAGTCGTGCCTTTTGGGAGCTGCCTTGTCGCCATCATTCTCGTGGTCGTCATTAGGGCAGACGTCAAAGTGTGCGCGCTTTGTTTTTCCACAGCTCTGATGTCGACGCAGTGTGTTAATAGCCACCATACTAAAGCCGTCATGCTCGTCGTTCCCGTCATTGTTGCCATCGCCATGTGCATGGGTCATGTTTAAACAACACCTTGGCAAGAGGAGGAACCACACAGCCCTAGCCACTAATGTGGCTACCGATGCAACTTTGGCAGTCAGGTTAAGTGCCGCATTAGTCGTGTGGAGAAAGTGAATTTTTTTTTTGAAGTTACCTGTTGAAGCGTTTTTGCCGCTTTGGAATCGTTTCAAATGGCTAACGCAAACTTACTAAATTTATCCCGTTGAGCGCAGTAAATAGAGCATGAGCGTAAATTTATTGCTAAATATATTATCTATATATATTCTAAATATATGCATTTATTCGTGAAAATAGTGTTATCTAACTACATATCCGTTGTACGTAGCGTATACGTGATTAGTTGACAGAATACAACAGCGCTACTACGGTCATTTTATGTACTAGCGCAAAGCTTCTTATGGTTTTTGAAATGACCGATAGGTGGCGCCCTTTGCAATTTTAATGCTCTACTGCAGCAGAAAGCTGATAGTACCTGTGGTGTATTTAAAATAAAATGAAATATAATGCAATAGAGAAGCGACTCTAATTTAAGCTCCCAAATTTCTATGCCAAGACAAGCGAAATAGCCGCGCAATTGGGCAATTGTTACATATTTTAATTTTTAAATTTTGGGATTACCACAAATTTATATTGCCCTAAAAGGTATTTAAATCATTAATTAAAAAATTTAAGGGAAAGAATTAAATATTAGAGATATAACACCAAAACAATATAGTATTATAATATCGGGGTTTTTGTTCAATAGGGGTTACAGGGTTTAACCGCTTTCGAATGCCAGCCGATTATAGGCATAGATATGTTTAATTAGAGATATTAGAGATATAACACCAAAACAATATAGTATTAAAATATCATGGTTTTTTTTCAATAGGGGTTACAGGGTTACAGGTTTAACCGATTTCGAATGCCAGCCGATTATAGGCATAGATATACAAGTATGTAGATATATCTAGACTAAGAATCGAGTATACTCTTTGACGGTATTCTTTCTTGTATTCCAAGTTGTACTTACTTTCAATAACCGATTGGAGAACTGCTGTGTTTAAGCAACGTTCCTTGCAAGGCGCATGGGTTTTTTTCTTAAGTTGTAGAACGAGTGCGGTCCCTTTTAAGCTGACATTGGAAATGCGAAATGTTAATAATAAAAGTAAATGCCATAAACGCATTCCATCTTATCGAGCTGATGCTTTATGGTGGTAACAAAGGCATTATTGCTTATATTAATGCTTTTGTCTGCAACTACGAGTTCCTGTATATTTACAACGAGCTCTGCTTTACCTTTTGGCCGTAAATTCATTCACAAAAAATATTTTAAAATTAAATCAATTTCTTTTACGCACAAGCAGGACATACATAATTTAGCTTTGCACAGACAAGTGCATAAAGAATGTTTCTCCTTTTTTTATAGGGGCTTTATACCCTCATATACTGTAAGCTTAAGCGAGTCCGAGTGTGCTTATATTTGCACACTCACTTCAGATAAACAACAAACTCAGAGTTTGCTAAACGCCATTGCGTTTTACTTAATTATCGAGTCGATAGAACGCAAACTGAGCAAACTGAGCGCAATAAGTGTCGAAACAGACACCGAGTTTTGATTTCAATTCAGAGAGTGCAGTACGAACAGTCGTTGTTTGGATATCGCCAAGGCCGGACGCAAAGCGCAGCTCGATCGTTTCGAACATAAAGGCGATTGTAAACAATAATAGTCGGCATGTACGAGCAAAACAGCACAGAGTCCAATCCTTTTACCAATGCAGCTGAGGCGGCCTTGTGGACGTTGCAAGGACGTCAAGGGTCAGGGCCTGCCAATTCGAGCGCCCGACTGGCCAATGCCTCGCCCGCAGCGATTCCCCAAAATATTTTCACCAATCCCGCCATACAACCATCCAGTGTCATAAACTTGTCCAACTCAACGGATGTGGTAATCGGACCAATGACACAATATCAAGGCCCAGTAACAATCTATCAGTATATGGATGCCACTGTCGAGGCACGTTCCGTCCAGGCCGGTGCTGGTAAGTGCTAAAGAGGAAAATTTTACCCGCTACACGAATTTGACAATTTTGAAGTGGAAATTCAGCCAAGCTTGTCGCTCGTTATCCGATAAGAGACCAAAAGTAAGGCAGAGAGCGGCAATGAGAGTGCGTTGAGCTATAAGTTCTGGTTTTTCCCAGCTCCATCTCCACACAGTAATCATTGTTTATGCAAATCGTTTGTCCGACCGCAGACAAACGGGTTGAACAGGAATTCTTGGGAATAACTAAGCCATAGATACGCGTGCCCACAAAACCTCAGAACTTAATTGCATTGTAATAGCTAATATATCAAGTGAAGATGACGCACATCTCCGTACGTCGTAGTACTCTGTCTCTAAAGTATTTGCTCGATAAGAGGCATGCATCAAACTTTTATTTGATATTTGAGTTCAAAAAATGATATAGTCATATAGTATAAACATATCTTTCGTAAGCATATGTCCATCATTACGATAACATTTATTTAAATATGGTTCTTAATTGAAACTTCAAACATAGCTTAGAAAAAGTCCAGCACCGGTTTTTATTAAAATATAATATTCAAATCCATACGTCTGCTATTCATAATTGCATACCCTAGGTCCAAAATGTTTAAAATCAATATGTTAAAAAACTGGAGCTTAAGTTTATCTAAAAACATATGCATGGAAACATGTGCTCTTTAAGGTAGGTCAGGGGCATATACTCGAATCCATATTGAACATCAAAACCAATAACATACATATATCATCCGACAGGTATAAAACGAAATAGAAATATTTAACTAGCTTTCATATCGTATTTTAAATGACTTTATAATTTAGTTGATCAAACCGCAGTTCTACTATGTTGTTTTATTCGTAATTCGTATTCTTACAAAATGCATTAATATTCATTTACTTCTAAAAGCATGTTGATTTGTAAAGCCCCACAGAAAATTTAAACTATTATCGGAAGCGAGAAAACCAGAGCTCTCAAAGTGCGGGAAACTTTTTATTACAGAATGCTAACAAAAAACTGATTGAATACTGTGCTACTAGTTCAACTAATTTGTTTAAAATTAAAATAATAATTAATTACAACTAGTTAAAAATTTTAAGAGTCAACAAATAATGCATATGTATACGTACTTATTTATATAAATTACAAATACAGCATCTGTATGAGTGCTGTACGGACTTAAATCACAGAATTAGCTACAGTTATCTGTATTTCCGGCAATGACTTCTTTAAGAGTTGTCCTTGGAATATACATAGGTTATAAAGATAACCTGAAATTTAATAGAATTTCTTTTCATTTCTTGGAAATACCTGCAACCAAGTAAGAGGACTCCAGTTTCTATACTTTGCCAGACTATTAGTCTCATAAAGACAGACAGTCATATCTAGTCTTGTTATGCTGAACAACTTTGTAGGCTCTGCAAATATATTTGAACCCCCAACCCCTTTTTGGATATGGCGTATAAATTTATGTACATGTCCTAAGCCCATATCGGCAACAGACTATTAATATTCAATAACTATTGGAAATAATGCCAGAATAAGGTAGACCAACGGAGTTAAATACAGCTCTGCGTAGTAAATATATATTGGTTTTTATACTCTGTACATGAAATATACAGAAGTACTATATATTAGGTTTGTGGGAGCTGAAAAATGTAACAGGCAGAAGGAGGCGTGGCAGACCCCACAAAGTATATATATTCTTGATCAGCATGACGAGATGAGTCGATCTAGCCCTGTCTGTCTGTCCGTCTGTCCGTCCGTATGAACACCTGGATCTCAGAGACTATAAGAGATAGAGACACCAAATTTTGTGTGTATTCTATACGAGTTTGTTTTATTTTTTTATTCCCCCCCCCCCCACTTCCGCCCTATGGGGGTTTTCCCGATTTTCCATTCGTATAATCGCCTATATCTCGGAGGCTATAAGACCTAGGAACTCCAGATGTGAATACGCAGAAAATGTATATTTTGGAATTTCCCTCCTTCCCCCCTCTCCACCGTAAATCGTAACTCCCGTAATTCTTCGAATTTCAAACTAAAATTTTGCAAATACTTCCAGTTAGTTATTATGTGTCCGTATGCCAAGTTTCACTATGATAGACCGACTTAACAAGAAGTTATAGCCATAAATATATATGCTGCTGCAGCGCTGCCCAAGCGCTGCCCGCGTCTGTTGTTGATGTTGCTGTTTGGTTGACTGCTAACATGTTTACACAGACACGAATATATGCGCATAGGCATACATACACTCACACAGACGCAATTGCTTTGTAAATGTGCAATTATACACCCTTTACGTGAGTTCGAATACCGAGAAAGGTAAAATCGATCAAATTTTTTTTTTTTTAATTTGTTTTATTTTCTATAATTATTGTAAACATATGCACAGAGTATTTCAAAGTCGGGACCCCCGACTTTAGCTTTTTTACTTGTTAAATGTTGTATACTGATATCACTCAATTCTCGTTTTTATATTGTACAATTTCAACAATTGGTTGAATCGCAAAATATCGCCAACTATTTATTATAAACAAAGTAAAATATTTCAGTCAAAAATCTTCTTCAATTTAACAAATTTTACATCAAATTTAGAAAGAACACTGTATGGAAACAATTTTGTAGCGAGGTGGGGGCAACTCGCGTTGCCAGGGATAAAGAGCATCTACATACAAAGTTTCGATAATGGGCTCAGCCATTTCCGAAATCCAGGTGTTCATCCAGACAGACGGGCTTGGCTGTACTGATTTCTCTTGTGATGCTGATTAATAATATGCTGCTAAATATATATCGTATGTACGAATATATACTTTATGGGATCGGAGATGCTTCCTTCTCCCTGTTATACACTCTGTGCAAACTAAATATATGGTTTTAACTCTTCGGGTACAGGGTATAAACACGCTACTTAGGAGAAATAGTGAAGAAAATATATTTATTTCAAGGAGAATGATGATTAACATTTTGGTGCCAATATTGCACTAAGCACTATATTGATTGGGAGCTACAAATAATAGGAAGAATCACAGCTGCCTTTTTGGGTGTTCACTGTACCGCAAGCTCACTAAATCCATAATAAATATAAATGCATACATATGCTTTTGTATATATACAAGTAAGTAGTAAGTACCCATATGCGACAGTAGAGTCACAGTTAAACAATACTGGAAAGCGATCGCAATGCCGAGCTCTCTGCCCCCCATGGCACTCACACAGCAAGACATGTCAACCGCGTCCCCATCAGGCCCGGAAGGGGCAGAGGCAGAGGCAGAGGCAGGGGCTGGGGGCAGCGGCCATCGACAGACATGCGCAGTGCGCCGGCAAACATCGCGACGCCGTTCAGTCGTTACTGTGACGGGCTCAGGTGCGGCTGCTCGTTTCTGCCCTCACAATTTATCGGTCAAAGAGCCAAGAATTCCGATATTCAGTGGGCAAAGTTACGATAGCGTTACGGGAGAAAATACACAGAAAACTCGCAAGCGCTTAATTTAAAGTTGTCGCTGGGCAGAGTGATTCACCATTAGTCACAGCCCATGCGTTAAATACTACAAATTATCAACTGAGAAATTTGCGTTTCAATTATGACACCATTTGTGCTATAAACGGCGCACACAGTTCTTGATAAGCCATTGCCACTGTGCACAGTTGGCTGCAGCAACAGAATTTGCAAAAATTAAACAGCAACTACAGCCACAACTGGGAACAAGTGCCCAAGATTGATGTGCTCTAGATAAATAAATAGGCACACAGACACACACAGATATAGACACACAGATACATAAGTTTGCAATTTTACAATTGTAAGCAAAAGCAGAAGCTAAACAGTTTTGCCAACCACTCAGACAGCCATGAAACTTTTGCTGAAGGTGCACACTGAGCGCAAGGCACAGAAAAGGCGGACAGTGGGGACGACCGCAAATGGTGGTCAGGTACATCATAACCCGCCTCCTCCCCTTACAGGCATCACAAGCAGTCGCAGCTCAAACACCACGAATGTGAAGCAACGATTGACGCGAAATTCCCTGCTACTCATCACACTCATCGTCCTAGTGGTAGTGACGGCCTCAGTCATACTCTATGTGGAGCTGAGTCGGCACCGGGGGGCGCGGGCTGAAGGTGATAGGCCCATCTATTTTGGCAACAACTACGATCACGATACATGTAAGTGAGCGAACGCCTATTGATGCTACTCCCAAAGAACAAACGTTGTATAATTGTGCAGTTCCAAATCTAGGAAACGGTCATCTGATCATAGATCGGGATCAGTGGGGCGCCTCGGAGCGCGCACGTCCCCTCACAGTGCCACTCCGAAAGCCCATTCCCTATGTCCTCATCACGCACATCGGCGTACAGTCGATTCCCTGCGTCAATGTCTACAAATGTTCCATCAAAATGCGCACCATACAAGACTCGGCCATTGCGGAGAAGAACTTGCCCGACATACAGTCGAATTTTTACGTAAGCATACGATAGCGTATTTAGTTGCCGGGCACGTCCATTGGCACTTTTGGCCATTTCTTTTTCCGCTTACGTAAATGTGCTTCGTTTTCCTCTTTTTTGATTTTTTGCATTTTTCAATATGGTGTGCAGGTTTCCGATGAGGGCAATGTTTATGTGGGTCGCGGCTGGGACTGGGCCAACACGTATGCCAACGACACACTCGCCATTACCTTCATGGGCGATTACGGGCGCTACGAGCCAAGTAAGAAACAGCTGGAAGGTGTACAGTTCTTGCTGGCTCACGCCGTGGCCAACAAGCAGCTCGATGTGGGCTATAAGCTGGTAGCGCACAATCAGGTAAGCCATGAAACTTTCCAAGTCTAAATTGTCAATCACTGCTGGGGTAGGCGAAATCACAAAGAAGTTACGAATCGAAGTAACGAGCAAACATAAACTAGCCCACTAGCCCAATAATAAGATGCAAGGGCGTAGGCAGGGGGTGGGCCAGGGGGGGCCCTTGACAAAATGTTGCCATATAAAATCGACCACACGTTTATTATTATGACGCATTTTTTCGCCTTAAAATGGATCTGAGTTGGATTTGTTGAAGTTTTTTCATTTAAATGCATCGTGCATTATTTAATCAAAAATTTAATTTTTTGGGCCCCCCTTTTGGTAAAAGCTGCCTACGCCCTTGATAAGATGTCAAACTTTCCTTTAAGAAAACGATCGGTTAACTATCGATTGCAATGTGGAAAACGTTTATAATGCACACGTTATATAAAAATCTTAAGCGATTCGTTACAATTGTAAGTATTGTTGGTAATGTTTTAACCTTTAGACTCCTTTATCGCATCAAGAAGTTAGTTTATGTTAATTAATTTATAAATGAAAGTACTGGTTTCTGCATTTTTGGATATGATATAGAAGGTTTAATTAAAATTATTTGATGGCTGGCAGTAGCTGTGAACCACATACACCTAGAGGAGTACGGGGGTCGTATTAAGGTCCGAAAGGGTCCGGAAACTTTATACAGGCAACACTAACAAACAAAAATATGGACGTAATTATTTAGTCTTTAGTTGTCTTGCCTTTCTTTCTTTCTTTCAAAACTCAGATCACTAAATATTTAAAAACATTTCCCTTCTATGGGTCACACTCTGATTTTGGCGAAAATATTGAGTTCCATAGAAAATTCAGAATTTATTAACATGGGTGTTGTAAATTCTTGATTCATATGAAAAACACTTGTCTAAACAGGCGAAGGTAGTGGACATACTTTTCCCACCTCTTAACACAACATATTAAACAGTCCAAAGTTGAGAAATAGTTCAAGTTAAACATAGATGGATGACGCTGATTTGGAGATTTTGAGCTGGCTTTTGGGAAATTTTGTTTTGCAAAAGAGGTAGCTTAATGGTTAAAGTTCAGCTTGACTGGACAATTTCGTGCTAAGAAAATTTTCCGGTCATATCCAATAGTCATAGCTAATGGGGTAAATTTGTTTGAGCACTAGAATTATTGTGGCGTTACTAGTTTTGTTTGAACATCCGTCTAGCGATGCAAAAATAATCTTGCTTCCCCTTAAATAAAATTCTGGATATTTTACAACAACTTGAAGATATTCTTAAACACATATCACTTCCACATTCTTAAATGAGCCTTGGAAAAAACGATTAAAAAGGCAAACCTAAAATAAACCCAACCCACACAATTTATTATAATAAAGTAAATAAAAATAATTATTCTTATTCAACCAAATCTATTTTGGAATAAAATAGTAATACAAGTAAGTATTATAAGTAGGGCCAGAAAAAAACTTGTTAAGCTTTCAGATTGTTGGGGAGGAGGAGGGTGCGTAAAATAATACTCTGATAATATTTAGATAGTTATATTCGATCGTTGACAGAAACCATTAAGGATTGTTCAAGTATGGATAATCCATTGTTAAATTGTTAAACTAAGCGTATACTTTTTGTTTGTGATATTCCAGACAAGACCCTCCAAGAGTCCCGGCGCCAATGTCTACCGTGAGATTAGCAAATGGCCGCACTTCTATCTCTGTGGAACGGAAAATACGCCAAAGTGTGGCATTGAACTGGGAATGAGTCCCTCCTCCTGGGACTCAAAAATGTAATCGTCACTAAGTCTACTCTTATACAATTGTGCATATTCTCTAAGATTGTGTTTGTATTTTTGTTATGGCGCACAACTGTTTCAGAATAGCATTCGTTTTATCGAAGAAGACTTATCATTAAATTAATTTTAAGAATAAATTGGAATTTTTCTTTGCTACATAGCGCGATGTACCAGTATGTGCACTGATATTAACGACAAACCGGTTGAAATCGTATGCCACAGGTGCTTTATTTACGATTCGCATCTCTCCCTCTCTCTCTCTCTCTATAGCTCCACCCGCTGTGCCACTCTGCCGCTCTCTGGCTTCGTTGGCAAACAACCCAAGCTTAAAAGCTGGAAATTCCCACTTCAAGCAAAAAACAACCCAACACATATACGTGTATAATGAATATACGAGTATGTATGTGTGTATATAGTGTAGGCAAAATCATTATCTACACTCGTTGCTGTTGTTGTGCTTATTGACGATGTCATTGCCGCTGCTACCAGCTAAATATACTATACAAATATATGTACGCCCATTGATGCGGTTACATTTTTTATTTCAGTTTTTTATTTGTTTTTTTTTTATTTTTTTATTGCGTATACAAGTCGATACAAAATGTAGCAAACGGTCGTTGGAGAAAATACTTCAGTCATCGGAAAGATGGGAAAGCATGGGTGCTGGTAACACATTCCATGCCACTGTTACGTATGAGTAATATTGAGTTGGAAGGTTCTTGGAGCTCATAGATCACAACACATTTCGTCACACTCTTAGCTTTTTATATATGTTAAGTCAATTGTTGATGTGAAACGCCAAAGTAAACTTTTACTTCCTCAAAAGCCGAACTCTGCTTACAGAGCAACTGGAGAGTAATTTAACAAGCAATGCCTGGCTACATATGGACCAGTTTCTTCTATAAATTTCCATAATACAATTCAATGCTATATACATGTATATTCAACAGTTGAAATTGAAACAAAGCCGGACTCTAGTGGCAATTTAGTCTTGCAGCTTCGACAATGTTTCGAAAGTTATTTCTTGCGGCGCTTAACAGTAATATACGAATTTCGATACATACATACTATACATACAAATCAACTAAAGAATTAAAACATGACGCTAAGTATACGTTTGTTTGACAATGACCTACGCTAACAGAAAATACTAGTCAATACACGAGTCTGACACACGGCGAATCAGACAGCAATTAGAGACAGTCTTAAGCTCATAATGTAGGAGTACGTGTACACCTTCAGCAATTCTATTAAGCTCAATCGTAATTACGAATTTCCAAGAAACTCAAAGCACAAATCGGAATAAACACTTATAGCTCCAAGCACTCAATTAAGCCACAGTCTTGCGAATAGTAAGTGCACTATTGATGAACACACACAGCGGGCGGCAAAACGCGAAGTGAATTGCGAAGTCGGCAACGTCACGAAGTGAAATGGCTAGAGATGCCGAAATTGTTGCGGGGAACCGACAAAACAATTCTTGGAATTATGTGGAATTGTGGCGCAGTTTCATTTTAGTATCTCGGCCCACAGCCTCATCAGCAGCACACAGAGTAACACACAGACAATTAGCAATAAATATAATAGTAGACATACGCACACATATCGCTACACGTGTTTGTTTGCTTGCTTGCGAGTATGCTGGGGTTTGCACACAGAACCGCCCATACCTGGAATGTGTTTTCGTCTGTTAATATTGTTTATAAGTTGTACAAGTACGAAAAAACATTCTGCTAAAAATATAAACAAGCAGAAAGCTAGAGAGCCAAAGCCAGAGCGCGAGACACAAAAAAATATAAGCTTTAGAAAACCACTGACTGAAAACTTATTATCATAACGAAGTGAGAGAATGCCAGTCGAGAAAAACCTGTAAGCGCCATTCCCTCCACATTTTAGCGCCTGTCGCCAGTAGTTTTGTGGTGCGTGCATCTTAAAACGAGATGTCTGACGGGTTCAGACCAACTGACGCACAAGATACGAAGCTTGACGATATATACTTGTACGTCATGTGCATACTATATACATGTATATGCATGTTTAAATCTAGACAAGAGTATGAGAACAATGGAATGTAAGTAGTTAACATCAGACGAAGCTAGTCGCCTTTTGCACAATTTCTACATACTTGTATTAGGCACGTTTTGTAATGTAGCTGCTGTAATATAGGCTAGGCACGTAGCACGTATCATTATAGAACGCCAATAAATACTATTGTCATATATTTGAGGTAGAAAGTAAAATATAACAGCACAATACTTTCAGCATTATTATTATAATTTTAAAAACTTTTGACCAAATGAGTACAAGTCTTTAATTTGCCTTTACATGCAGACAAATATCTGCCAAAGTTCATTTTTACAATAAACTCATTTTATGTTAAATTAAAAATAAATAAATCGATCTTAGAGGCTCGCGTGATCGCTTATATTAATATTATCCTGCGCACAAAGCAACCTAGGTAACCAAAAATGCCGCACTTCCTGATCTTTAAATTACGTTTTCAGAGACGTTTATCAATAATATTCGTACACCGCCTTTTTCCGCCACTTCCCGGTTCGATTTCGATAAATAAAAGCCCAAATGGCTATGGCGGCTAGCTAAGTCGGAACCAAGTTTTATTTTAAAATAAAAAAAATACGCTTGACTAAGGTGTGGGTGTGTGCTTTTGATGAACACAATCATTACATCGCGATATTCATTAAATTTCTTTTATTTATTATTACATTATTATTAATTCCTAACTTTTAGTTTAATGGAACAATAGCTTCTATGGTCTTTAGTTCCTCTATGTATAGGATAATGAGTGCAGTATGTAGAATAAGTTTTAAACCAGAACATAATTATTAAAGTGTCCCTTTTTATGTGTGGAAATGTTTGTATATATGTGTGCGTCCAATGATTGGAAAGCTTTAATCGTAGGGACTACATTTAATGGTAACTGAAAATTAACTAATTATTCTGGTGCGTTGATTGAAATAGAAGGAGCAAGAGATTAATGTTAGCGAAGATTAGATTTTGGTTGCTTATGGGATTGTAAGATTTTTTAGAAAATGTTAAAATATCAAATTCAAATCGTAAAACAATTAACGTGAATATTCTTCCTGCCATATGGACATCAGTTCCTAATTACCAAATCTCTTCTTTTAAAGACCTTTAGAAATGTGTGGGCAATATACATATTTAATAAAAGGATATTACAAATATATATTACAATATATATATATTACAATATATTCCCACAATGTGAGTTCGTTCCCTGCCCACTAGAAGAAGCGTGGTTAAAAATTGCCAAAGTCACAATCAAATTTAACAATTGTTCTAACTAGGACAGATTTTAAAGACAGATTAAAGAGAGAAATACAAATGTTTTGGAACCGGTTTTGAACAATTAGAGGAAAGTCAATTGAAATCCAGCAATGGAATTAAATACAAGTAATACTAAAACCATACATATTCAAAGCTCGAGCAGACAGCGTTCGCTCCAAGCTGAGCAATAATTAATAATTCAAAAAGTAAACAACAACACCAGCTAAATTAAAAAAAAAAAAAAAAACTTAATCAAATATCTTCATTTAAATAATGAACACTAATTATAAGGCATACGCAGTCCGATCCGTGCCAGCTAAAAGCTGCCTGTTGACCGGCTCGCTCACTCGTCACTCGACTATCTCTCCCAAATACATACTCACACACACACCACACATACACACACGCACATGCACACGCACACACAGAAGCTCGACAGATATAGCTAGGCATTGGGCCAACCCGCATCGCGTTTTGAAATTGCGCCGCTCAGTTGATCAGAGTCACTCGAACGCGTCGCTGCTCGAAATATCAATCCGCCGCTGAAACTGATCGCGATTCAAAAACTACGTCCATAGTTCGTGTATATATGTGTTTTAACAACTTTTGAATAAGCAAATACAAAGCGTGCGCGTTTTTGTTGGCTGCATTGATTTGACGCCATCATTGAACATCGTCATAAATTGCCGGGCAACAAAATTAATAAAGGCCGAAAGCGTGTGGAAAGATGTTAAACTGAAATTGTGTTTACTCGAGTGTGTGTGTGTGTGTGCGTGTGTAAGTGAGAAAAAAGCTGCCAACAGGCGCCAAACATTTATTTTCAAATTCGTCTATGGCCTAAGGACAATTAATAAGAAAATCGAACTAAAAATTACAAATATTTGAGTTTTAATAAAAACGTAATACTTTGTGCGACAGCTGCCATGCGGAAATTTTAACAACGTTTGTAAAAATCGTACAGGAATAAAGCCCATTATTGCTTCAGACATTTCACATTCATCAAACAAAAAAAAACAAACAAAGTAATAATACTAAAGAAAAAAAGAGAAATTCTGAATCAAAATCAATTAATTGCTGTTAAAATTGTTAATTATAATTGTTAACAGTACACAACAGAACTTGGTAATTACCTTTTGCAATCAGACAACCAGCCAGCCAGGCTGCGAACAGGCTGATACACAAAGGCACAAGCACACACAAACATTCATCCTCACCCTCACGCGCACATGCATGTACATATCTACATACACACATACCACTTATGTGTATATGTGTGCCGTATAAATGGCTGTTGCTTTAAAATCTTTGTATTGGTGCGCTCAACAAAATTGTGCGCCCCAACAATTTCTCGTCATTACCGTCTATTATTATTGTTGGCGCTCATTTCATTTCGTTATCTGCGTAAAGCGCGCTCTATTCCAACTCTGTCAACATTGGTATTGCCGATCAGGTCGGTTATCGCTCGCTCTCAGTCCCAAGCCCCGTCCGAACTCAGCACCCGATGTACTGCTTGCAATTATCAGGCTTGTGCAAGCATTCTTTGGTTGTCTTTTGCCCTTTTAGCTTTATCAGGATTCCTAGAAAAGAAGCAATATTCATGAAAGAGCTTTATTGTTCAAGACATACCGGACGATTTGCCAACACTCTTAAGGTTGCGGATAACCCTTTTCAATACTAAGTATATAGCATAATAAAAATCGGGTCTTGGCCAATGCATTCATAGTTATTACAAGCTTTAGCTTCATTCATACGTACCAGTATGTACATAGCTCTGCAAACTAAGCCGTTGAGTAAGCCACATGACTATTGTATTTTGTATTATTAATTTTATGCAATACTAGTTTTATACTGCTCTACACAGAGCACAGTGGTTTCAAATTTAAGTCCAGCTGCACGACAGTGCTAATTTAATTTGGCACATCTGATGCCGCATTTATTGCTTGGGATTTACTTCTCACAACTAAGAAACCTATATTTAACTGTTATAATTAAGAAAATGTTTACAATCGAGGTCAAAAATATTGAATATTGAAGATATATTTTTTGTACTACAAAAAAATTACTACTCGGCAACTTTTTTTAATGGGGCATAAAAGCTTCATCCGGAGAGCCAAAATCTTTGAAAAACTGATCCTTACAGACGAGTTATTAATTGCTAAAGTATTTTGAAGGTTTTATCTAGCAACTTTTCATAAGCATTTTACCCATCAAACATTTTCACTTCCAAGAGACATACTATATTCCACATGATTTAGCAGTTCATAAGCATTTATTTAAGTCACCAATGACTATTTAATGCGAGTCGAGCATTCTTGAGCACAATAAACCCATAAATCGAAGGTCCTTTAATTATACAGAAATTAAACATACAGCACCTCTCGATTAATCCGTTATTTAAGTCAAAAACTACTCGTCTTTTATTTGTCTAATGCAATAATTGCTTACTCTGTCTTTTTACCAGAATCTCCAAAACAAAAAACTATTCAATGGAACGATTTCCAATTAGTTTTATCATCACACAACAGTAATTATACCCTGTACCCAAAAGGGTACAAGGGTATATTAGTTTTGTGCGAGTGCACATGGAACACACAGAAGGAGGCTTGGTAGACCCCACAAAGTATATATATTCTTGATCAGCATGACAAGCCGAGTCGATATAGCCATGTCCGTCTGTCCGTCTGTCCGTCTGTCTGTCCGTCTGTCCGTCTGTCTGTCTGTATGAACGCAAGGATCTCCGAAAGTATAAGAGCTAGAATAACCAAACTTGGTATACAGATTCTCCTGAGACCGAGAAAGGACGAGTTTGTTCATTTTTTCTGATCCACCCCCCCACTCCCCCCCTATTAACGATTTTCTATAACTTCCGTAATTCTTGGAATTTTTAACTTAAATTTGGTAGACACATCCAGTTAGTAATTATATATCCGTATACCAAGTCTCATTATGATAGAATGATCGGAAAGAAAGTTATAGCCATATAACCAGGCCCAATGCACACATACATACATATGTACAAGTACACAAACACGCATAAGGCACGATTCTGATGTAAATGTAAATGTATGTATGCATGCATGGAATATTTTATATTTAATTTAGTTAATTAATTAAATTAATTTAGTTAATTAATTAAATTTAATTAATTAATTAATTTAATTACTTTTTTGTGGGGTGGTACAGGGTATTTAAGAGTTGAGCCTGCTCGACTTTAGCATTCCTTTCTTGTTTTTTCTTATTTTCGTTGTGAATCATTTCTCTCCTATAAGTATTTAACTTTTCATAGTTTAACTCAGCAAATAAATTTATCTTACAGATGCGCAAAATGTAAATAGCTTAAGTTAAGCAACCGTTAATACATGTGAATAATTATGTGCAAGCGGCTGACAAAATGGTGATAAAACGGTGCTAAGCTCAGAAAAATCCCAGTTGGTTGGTTGGTTGCTAACAAAATAAATACATATATAGACTTTGTTTGTTTGTCTATGAAAAATGAATTATAAGAATGAAGCGGAAATGAATGAGATCTTGAATGGCAATACACAAAACAATCATCATTCTGCCAAATTACCGAGTGGGAATAATTGCAGTACATCGTCCACAGATTCGGGCGTTATATTTATTGATAACGTTGCCACATTCAATAAGTCGCAAAATGAAAAGGCAACGGCCAAAGAAACAGATTACAACAACAGCGCTGAGATAAGGAAAGGAACTGATAATAGCACCATTCCGATAGCGGAAGTGCAACGTATAAGCATCGAGCAAACAGTGAACATTAAGAATGCGCCACCAGTGTCAAAAGCCAAAAAATGCTCGCCCACCCTCTCCATTCGAAGCACAACCATCTCGATAGTGTCCATCGATGAAAACGCTGTCGACTCTAGTTGTATCGATAGCGACTCTGAGGCGGGAGAAGATGCCGATGCGGAGGGTGATCACAATGGGTACACGGTGCAGAAATTGGGCCAACAAATGACCTACCCGCCCAATAGTGCAGATTTGCCGCAGCTCAACAAGGGGCTGACGGTGATCGGCCAACAGATCAGACCCAACAACTTCCTGCCCAGTAATGGCCTGAGCTTACCAGGCCCTGGATTAGTCGCCGAGCAACTAATCAATGGAAATTTGGCTGCTACGACCCCAACGACTCCGCAAGTTGCCGTCACAAACTCCACAGACGTCACCATCGGTGACAAACATTTCTACGAGGGCCCCGTCACGATACAACAGTTTCTTATTGATAATCGCGAGAAATGGAAGGCAGTTGATGGCGATGGTCACGATAATCCAGGCTTCAACGGGACAGCGGCACCAAACGGTCCGGTATCGAGTAAGTATTGCCTAGAGAGGGAAATACCAATTGCCTGCTCTCCTGAACACTGCACTGATTCGATTTTAAAGTTTATTTCCGTTTCACCTTGAGTTCTTGCCATTGCTTTTGTTTGCTTTATGGGCGGGCTATTGTGTTCGCGTGCACTTTGTGTTTATTCAAAGCTTTAGCGTTGCGCTTAGCGCAACGTCTTATAAATTATTTTGGTTATACGAGTACATATATAGTACAGGCAAGCTTCTCCAAAGTTAAAGTAAATGGAAAAAAAGATGAGTCGATTTTATTTTATACTCGTATAGAATTGAAATGGGAAACAGAAAACCCGAATTATGTATCTGCGCTTGAACAATAGCCCCCATAACCAGGTGAGGAAGAATACAAAGTATACACTTAAATATAGATGTTCGTTCACTATACCAACTCGATAAAGTCAAATTAATTTAGGAATTTAGGAAGATGGTTCTTATTGCACTTGCTCTCTAAAAGATATACATTCTTGTGGTTGGTTTCAGACTTAATGAGGACTTTTGTGAATCTTGGGTATATTTTACATAATTTTATTTAGATATCAGACTTAAGAAATCAAAAGAAATTGTAAGCTATTTGGCTAAAATACATATCTAATAGTTATATAGACACTTATTATAGATCAGAAGAAGTGCTGTCTCGCTATCGCAAAAGACTGACATAAATTCTTTGAAGAAACGTTTGCTCCGAAATAAATATTGGCAGAAATTAGTCTTAGAATTGTATAAAATGTAAGCTCCAGAATGGACTGAATTTCTTATGTTTGAATATTATTTCGCTCAAATAAAAAACTTTGCAATGAAAAGCTTCAGGGAAATTTTTTCTATAAATTACGTACAATATTAAAAAGTTGTACTGTACGCGAATTTCAACGGCTGTATTTATATCTGATGCCTTTCTATTGAAAATCACATTATTTATACGCCCCGTATGGCAATATGTTACGAAAGGATTAAAATTCAACACAAAGAATTATACATCACGCATACGCACTGTCGACCAAAAACTGCGCAAATTAAAAAAGCATACAAAAAATGTATGTTCTAGAAAACTTCAAGAAACACACACGTATACTCATTGACATCTGGCTACACAATGTGTACGTGCGAGTGAAATTCTCAATTATCATAATTAAAAAGGCCGCGAAAATGCCTGCAAAGAATTGTGGGACTATGTATCGCACCTAATTAAAAAGTAATACCAGCCCAGCTGTGCACAGGGGCGTCGATTAGTGGGGTTCAGGTAACTAACTAGGTCGGTACTTCACCTAGCAAGAGTATCAATAGTACTATATCAAATGCACGTACGCGTAAGGAGGGGACTTTTTATGGCTTTGTTTTCTGCTGCTCATCGAAAAAGTAAATAAATTCTTGAGCAAAGGCCAAAGAGAAAATATACTACTCAATCCGAATATATCAGCAAAAAAAATAAAAGTACCGGCATTCTATATAGAATTCGAATACTGAGGCCAGTCGTTAATATACCGTGCACCGGTCATGTTGAGCCAAGCGTTTCAAATATGTCTAAAGTGTCAGAATGTAATCATACAAGTAGACACGAGTACGAGTTCTGGTGTGGTAGAATGTTTTGGGACTTGTGGTCGGGCTTGTCATCGTGAATGCAGCGAACTGACCGAGCAACAGCTCGATCTGATGAAGATGGTCCCAAATATAAGCTGGCAGTGTGACAAGTGCTTGGGACAAGCTCGAACAGAATGGCTTGAAAAACGCCTGCGAGAGCATGAAAAACGTCTAGAAATTTTAGAAGGTTCCCTAGAGCAGCGTGCAAGTGAACTAATTGGTACGACTACCTTGTGGAGGCTTACGAATTCCAAATGTGATCTTAAAATTTCACACACATGTATATTTTCATCTCCTTTCCAGGCGCGAAGTCCGGCGAACCAGCCACAAACGCTTCAACGCTATGCCCCGGCCTGCCGCACACAATTGGTCGCAAGGCCCTTGTAATAACCGGAACATTTGTCCTGCTCACAATTATTCTCGGCGTCGTCCTGGCGCAGACAACGACGTTCTTTGAAGAAACGGTGCATAAAAGTAAGAATGCTGATGGCGAAGATTCCAGACAAAATATTCCAATCAATTCAACAATAGGTATTACAACATTCTTAATTGGTAAACGATCATCTCTGTCTCTAACAAGTGCTTATACATACATATATTATACAAGTACTATATACATATAACAAAAGTGGATCGGGCTAAATCACAAAATTCGATGTACTTGTATGTATGAGTTTGTCGATATGGTTTTCGTCCTTGTACACGTGCATTTAAAAATTCTGTAAACGTGAAACAGTGTTGTAAAGTGTGACACAGTGACCTAAGTGTTAAGTTGAATGGAATATTCCTCACGTATGTAGGCCATGCACTCATAACTCCGACTAACCGCCATCTCTTTGTGCCGCAGACGATGATGTGGTCGCCAATGGAACTCTAGAGCTCGTTGACGTGGGAAGATGGGGCGGTTCTCCATCAAAACATCCGTTAGATCGTCTTAGCCTTCCCGTGCATCGCGTGATTATTTCCCACACTGCCAGTGAGAGCTGTGAGTCCGAAGTAAGTGTTACGATTCCAATTCTCCTATCCTAGATCCTATAGTACGTTTTTCAAAATCCTGTTCTGTTTTTAGGAGGTCTGCAAGTACCGTGTCCGTGTTATCCAGGAGTTCCATATGAATGGCTGGGGCTGGGACGATGTGGGCTATAATTTCATGGTTGGTGGCGATGGGCGTATCTATGTGGGTCGTGGCTGGGACTGTGTCGGTGCACACACAAAGGGCTATAATATGGATAGCATTGGAATTTCGTTTATAGGCACCTTCAATAAAATATTACCAACGGAGCAGCAGCTACAGGCGTGCCAATTGCTAATTGCGGAGGGCGTGAGACTGAAGAAGTTAGATCCTGACTACAAGCTATATGGTCATCGGCAGTTGAGCGCCACTGAAAGTCCTGGCGCACTGCTTTACAAAATAATCAAAACCTGGCCACATTGGTCGTCTGTAGTATAGCCGCTCCAGTCACTTATAGTTTAGTTAATATGAAGCTGAAGTGTATTTTAGACAAGTGTGGTATATATATATGTATATTGTATTGTAATATAAAGTGTATATAATAAATCTATTTAATTTCATAATCCCTCGTATTTTTCAATTTACACTTCAATTGGATGTCATTGGCTTAAAGCTCTGCCCCAGATATATCATTCCATTTACTAACCGCCTTAAATTATAATTTCCGACTCTTTTACAGGACAAGACAACATTGGAGGTGGCAAGGTGCTGCGTTTTGTTGCACGTCCTGCTTGGCTCGCTCAGCCCCCCCAAAATCCGCTCAAGGCACTGAAGCTGCCCGTCTCCCTAGTCTTGGTCATGCCCACAAACACGGAAAACTGCTCGACACAGGTATGTGAACCATTTCACCCAAAAAGGATCTTCATTCTTAACAATATTTGTTGTTTTTTTTTCTTCTCCATAGGCAGAGTGCACTTTTCGCGTGCGATTCCGCCAAACGTATGACATAGAATCGCTGCAAAATGATGATGTGGCCTACAATTTTCTAATTGGCGGCGATGGAAATGTGTACGAAGGGCGTGGCTGGGACAAAGTGGGCGCTCACATGAAGGGCTACAATGAGCGTAGTCTGAGCTTTGCCTACATAGGCTCCTTCCAGAAAATACCGCCCTCGCCGAAACAGTTGAATGTGACTAGCCTACTCATTGCTGATGGCATACGACTGGGAAAAATAGCGCCCAACTACAAGTTGATGGGCGCCATTACACTAGAGCCAACAATTACCGAATATAAGGCCGAGCAGCTATATAAGAGTTTCAATAACTGGCCACATTGGTCTTAATCTAAGCACTATGATAATTTTTTATCTTTTGCCGTTAAGCTTCTTATTTACTATATATGTATTTTGTATATATCTAAAAAGAGTGGCATATTTAATTTAGTTAGATAAGTTCATGTTTACAAAATTGTGATACACACATGGGAAATTCTCAAAAAATAAACAAAAATGCATTAAAAACGGTATTTCATTTCATTCAACAGCTCCCACCAGGGGATTTTTGTTTTTAAATCAAGGACGACGTACTAAGCTGCAACTAAATGTAATAATTTAAATCAGACTAATCTCAAATCATACATATGTACATATCCGGTATGAGTTCCAAGAAACAAGCTTCCTATCTGGGCCAAAACAATGTGGCTAAAAATATTACTATTCATTTTTTAATGGCTCTACAGTTCGCTAAGATCTTATAAGCTATCGTGAATAAGATATATTTCTAGATATATATCACTGGATATATTTCTGTTGCTGCCCATGTAGTGGTAATTAAAGAACAGAAATCGGATGGATGACATTTTTGAAAGAGCAATTCCAGCATTATCCAATTTATTTTGTTCACTACTGAAAACCTGTTTGCCACGCATTTTCCATGGGACAGTCTAAGCCTAATGAGGCTTTATTTGTATTTATCATTACAAACAAGAACACCGACTCAACCCACAAGTGGCGCATAAGAGAATACGATTGCTATACCAAAAATATTCCACTTGCTCTTTTGACAAAAAGGTGGACATAATTTGCATTTTAGCCAAATCACTCGTAGAAGACAAAAACAACCCGAACCGGCTGCTTTCAAGCCGTCAAAATTCCAGCTTTAACATCAAAAGCTTTCGGTTCTTGTTAAAAACAACAACGAAAAGCTCTCACCGAACCGGGGATTTTCGCAAAAATATTGCGGCAGATCGCCCAAAGCTCATTCGACGTTCAGTAACCAAGAAACAGCGCATTTGATTAGACGGAGTACAAGTGAGCGGAAAATCACCGAAGCTTAAGACCAGATGAAAGACCAGCAGCAACCTCAACTTCAGCTCCAGCCCCAGCTGGAGAGTCAAAATGTTCAGCACCAACTCCCCGCAACACAGATAAAGCAAAACAACAAGTTGATCTACCTTATCAGCGTATTGTTTCTGCTAGTTCTCACGAGTCTTGTCTACTTTCTGCTGCTCATAAGTAAGTAGTAACCAAAAGGTAGAGCCAACTGTCCATTGTTACAAGTGTCGCAAACAGCCCACACACCGACAAAAGCGAGCACAACACTCCGCATACTCGATCGCAGCGAATGGAAGGGGGAACCACCCTCCGGCCCTCGAGCACATCTTGCCACACCGGTACCAAACGTTATGATTTGCCACACGGCCACCGAGGGCTGTGAAACCGAGGTGAGTGTCTGTCCTATCTGTCAATTTTTTAAATGCCCCACACTAACATCCCTTATCCCCGAACTGTGTATTTGTGTTGTGCCTTGTCGCCAAAAGGGGCAAACTTCGTTACGAATCTAACAGATAGAAAAATGTCTGGCAGATCCCACGCAATACTTGTATTTTAAGTACCAATGTGCCTAATGAGCATGAAAATACGAATCGCTTTAGAAATAATTCATATTATAGTCTCAGGGCACCCCCTTTGTCGAGATCGCTGGACTGCGCATTTTATTACAAAGCTTTTTAATTCGGATATTAAAAAATGTTCGAAGTCATTGTACAATCGTGTCTCACTTTTTTTAAATTCTTCAAATAAATAAATAGTACGGTCAAGTATGTTGTAGATGTGCTTTGAACGTTCTGAGTGGTTCCCCGAAGGTACTTACATTTCGTTGAGGCTTTCTATTTGCAGTATTAATTATTAGTAATTAAAATATATTATTATTAGTATCCACACGGAGTAAGTAATTATATTCGACAGTTAATTTTCTAGCTTTGTTTGGCTCCACCGATCCAGATAAGTTAAATGAAAATTATAATAGGAATTTTTTAAAATTCACTTACCGAATATATATTATAACTAATTTTGCGTTGCTTGACAAAAATAGAATCCAGTGCGTCTTTTATTAACTTTTTGTCATTCTTGATCCGGGAAGGAATTCTTATGTCTCTTTCGTGCCCAACGCCTTATGGAACGTTTGCATATTTGAAATGCTTTACTAAAGCGTTCGTTACATTGGTAATCTGACAACAATACTATTGATACGTTGATAATTAGTACACCAGTTCTGGAGAATTAAATAACTTGTAAGTCGGTTGTAGAAATTACTGTTTTACCATCTGGCTATGAGACTATCAGACGTGACACAAAGCGCACTAATTGATGTGAACAACTTTTCTAGATTCAATCTCGCGTGTGCCTCGTCATATACTATTTTGTATATATGTAGTACAAGTATATATGTTTTTGGGTTGAAAGAAGTAAAACGGCTCCTCAATACTAACACATCTGTATAAACTATCAGTCTAGTTTTATTTTCGTTGACGCCAAATAATCGTTTCTTGCTCTGCTTCTCAGGATGTTTGTATCTATCGAACGCGCGTCATTCAAAACTTTCACATGCAATCCCTGGGCTTTTACGATATTGGGTACAATTTCTTGGTCGGCGGCGATGGGCAGGTTTATGTGGGACGTGGCTGGCACATTCAAGGTCAACATGTGAAGGGCTACGGCGCCGTTTCTGTGGGCATTGCCTTCATCGGCACCTTCACAAAGGAGGCGCCGTCGGCACGTCAAGTAGAGGCTTCCAAGCAACTGATGGAGGAGGGTGTCCGTCTACACAAGCTGCACGCCGATTATCGCATCTACGCACACCGGCAGCTCAGCCCCACCGAGAGTCCCGGACTAAAGCTATACGAACTGATGCAGCAATGGCCGCGCTGGACCGAAGATGTGGGACCTCGTAAGTGCTTCGAATGGTCCTTATACGAAGTTCCTTCTGATGTTTCCACCATTAATAGTTCGTCGGCTCAACAATGAGACGCTGAAGTTTGTGCCACGCGATTACTGGTTGGCGCAGCCCGCCCAGCAGCCTCTGAAATCCCTCGAGCTGCCCAGCCAGCGAGTGCAGTTCATTTCCACCAAATCTGAGCCTTGTGTGACTCAGGCATCGTGCACCTTTCGAGTGCGCTTATTGCAAACCTTTCATATCGAGGCCGATAACGTACCGGATATTAATTACAACTTTGTTATTGGGGGCGATAGCAATGTCTACGTGGGCAGGGGTTGGCAATATGGAACCGATGCGGTGGGGAAAACTAAAGAATTTGATGGACTAGTCGTTGGCTTTGTGGGTCAAGGACAAGGTAGTCCTGAACAAATGGAAATCGCTCGTGCACTTCTAGCACAGGGCGTACGACTGGGACAACTAGCCGAAAATTATGAGTTGAAAAATAATCTGGAGACGACGCCTTAGTCTGCTATTCATGGAAATAGCTTGTGCCATGCCAACTGCTGTAATGATATCAATTACTTTTAAGGAATAACAATTAATTTTCTATCGAAATAAACATGGCTTTATGTATAGAGTTTCAACAATTATTTCTCTACCACTAGAAAAAATCGCTCTCAATATTATTATAACAATATCAAGCTGCACACAAGGATAGGCCTATTGCAAAATTTTAAAACGAGATTTCAACTTAACTATATACAAATCATACAGGTTCTTTAGGCAACACTTTGTGCTTACAATTGGCTAAATGACTTCAAATTTTGGAATTTAGAACGGAGAACATGGCTTCTACTTAGTCGATTATATAAGCTACAAACAGTGACAATTGGGATGCACAATTAATGATCCAAGATGCGCATGTTGCCCGAAACAATCTTATTTTCGAGGATAGCGCCGGCGGGTATATCAATGCGATCGCCATGGTTGGCTATTATGATGACAGTACCCTGAAATAAGTAAGACAGCTTTAGAAGAGTTCAATAAAGAGTACCCAGCTAACATACGCGCAGAGAAACACCACGTCCGAAGGTTACATCGCCGGACACGGTTAAATGATCCAACTCAATGATGTCTGGTATGTTAGCAAATCGACCCAGGAACTCCTTAACCTTGGAGAAGTGATTCTCGCCGAGCTTGACCAGCGGCGTGGTGGGGAACATGCGTTGCGGCGACATAACCAGACTGCCGTTCTTAAGCGTATATAAATTCGACATGACAAGCAGGAGATCAGAGGACTTCTTGACGGGCAAGAAACGTGAGCGCGGCACATTGATGCCGACAGAGCCGTCGAAGCACTTCATGGCTGCACCCACAGCTGTTTCCAATTGTATGACGCGTGTTCCGTTCTCCAGAGTCTTGTTGTTCACGATTATCTCCATGTTAAGCGTGCGCTCGCGCAGTACTCTGTCGATGGCTAAAATGGAGCAGCATTTTAGGGGCTTTTTAAAAGTCTGCCTGAAAGTAGACTACACACCTGCCAAATTCGCCCAAATGTTGTTCGTATTGAAGAATTTGAACGTCTTTACGGACTTAAAGTCATCCACATGTTCCTTGGGCACCTGCGCAATTTCCAGCAGTCGGAGCTTGTTCTCAAATTGAATAAGCGTGCCACCCTGTTTACGAATATAGTATAGTCAAGTTCAAATCGGGTGATCGAATGGGTGGACTAGAGGGAATGATTACCTTAACGTCAGCGCGGGTTTTGTCGGTTACCTCCATGACAAAGTCAACAGGGGTGCTGGCACGCTCCTCGCCCACCAATTTGTTAAGTATGTTCAAGTCGACAGTGGCGCCCAAGTTATCGATGTTGGACAGGAAGCAATATTCGCGACCTTCTTCAATGAATCTCTTCAGAAGGCCAGAATTGCGGAAGGTGTCGTAGAAGTCACCGTGGCCAGGTGGATACCAACTGTTAAATTGAAACTGCAATAAGCGTTTGAAATAAAGAAAGCCATGAACAATATACGCACGCCTCCATATCCTTCTCCACATCAAAGTCTTTGGCCACGGGCAAGAAGTGCTCGCGACTAATGCGCGGGAAGCAGCTCTGATTGAACGTATGGATTTGTACACGGAAACCCTTGTATTTGCGCACAATCTTCTCCGTATCTTCGTCAGTGTTGAACGAGTTCATAAGCACCAATGGCACATTAGCGTCGTAGGTCTTATTCAGATGCTCGATCTGCTGCACCGTCAAGTCCAAGAAGGTCAAGTCCGAGCGCACGGGTATAACACTCTTAGGCCCGTGGCAGCCCATAGAAGTTCCCAGACCACCATTCAGCTTGATGACGACCAGCTTGTCCAACATGTTGCGAATCTAGGAATGAGCATAGCGATTAACAACATGGTACCATAGGACTAGTGTTAGGTTATGTTTGTTAGCGGAAGCTGCGGTGTTAGCCAATTCACTATGGAGGTTCGTTAGTAAATAAATAAAACCAAATCTAGGGCTTTAAAAACTCAAACTAAATACAACATTATTAAGTTATACTTGTAAATAAAAACGAAAGCGACCATAAAGCCCAATTAGTTAGAGATTGAAAGCGTGGCCATTAGGGAGCCAAAGAGAGCAAAGTTCAGACAAAGAGCAATACGAAAGCGCCGAGAAGCGTAGCAGGTAAGAAAATACTTTTACCTCATTCTATATATACATTTATATACATATGTATATAGGCAGACATAAGCCAAAGAGTTGTTGTCGCAACAACAACAATGAGAACAAGTTGGGCATACACAGTGTTCAGTTTTCAAGTCAATAAACATGAAAATATGCAAAGGTAAAGAGAGATATTATTATATCATTCAAGATTTTTGGAAGGGTAGAGCCAAACAAATGGTACTCGGAATCCATATTGTTAGGTTCAGACTATGAAATACTTGGTTCCATTGATCAGCTGGTTAATCCAAAATTTGAACGAACAATATTCATAGTCTGAACATTGTTTTAATAAAACCCATGCATTACTATTAACTAACCTGTTCATTTTTCGGCGACTTGAGGTTAGAGTAATTCATTACAGCATTTTCGGGCAGTTTTTGGATTTTATTCCAGTCTAAAGAGGGTCCCTCTAGAAAGATCAAGAACACAACAAGTTATATCAATATACAAGTACAGCGGATTAACGGAATTGTTTGACTTACCCTCCTGTAGAAACCGGCCAAAGAGCTCGGCAAAGCGATTCATTTCGGCTTGCAGGGCTGGCCTCCTCGCCGGTTCCGTGGTCTGCAGCAGACGATCCACGTCATTTTCAAGCAGACGGAGGGCATCGCGTTTTGTCACCTCGTGGAATTCCTTGGAGTCGGATGGGACGCGTTGATGGCCGCGTACCTGAAATCAAGAAAAATACACTGTACACAATCATCGGTAACTTCGTAGCCATGAACAACGATTAGGCTGTTAAGCAAAGCGCAACAGCAACAGCAACAGCAAAAGCTAAACGCAGACTCACTCAAGTGACAAAGGTGCAACAACAACAACAACAACATAATTAATGGGGAAACGTTATTGCTGTTGTTGGGGTAATGCGCGAATGCCCAATTACTTTCAACTGCGCAAGCGCCACAGACAGGTGTTGTTAACGAAGGCGCGACAGTTTTACTAAGACTGTCAGAAGTTGCAGAGCAAAATGCTGCCAAGGCGCATTATAACCCTTTCAATATTGTGTATTCTGTGCGATTATGCCACCGGAGGTGTCATGGACAACATCAACGATGGCCTGAAGATCGCTGGGAAAGTGTTTGGCATCAATACTGCAGCCGATGTGGCCAACCTGGTGGCAAAGGCTTTCTCTGGCGCGACAACACAACGCAAACCTGACATCATGGGCGTTTTGCGACAGGGATTTCAGTCACAAGTCGATAATGAAGACCAGAGATACGAGCAGTCGGAGCAAGATAGTGATCCTGAGAATGCACAGGAAGTACCGCCCCTGCAGTCCCAGGAGTATGGATCACGACAGCCAACGCGTCAAAAGCCTGCCCCACTTTTCGATTTCAATACCGGGCAGATGATGACTAATATGCTGCATATGGTGGGATTTGATGCTCGAAAATTGGGTGCACTGGCCCTCAATGCTCTAATAATGATAGCCCAGGCGGTAAGTAGTAAGTCGACGCTAAATATATAGATAATACAAATCTATAGATAATACAAATACACTTTCGATTGTTACTAATGAGAACTTTTATTGCTGGTACGATTACAAAGTTAATAACAAGTAAAAGTAATAAAGAAGGACATTGGTCCGATAATATTTGTATACTCTGTAAAAAGCCATAATAAGTTGTTGACAAGGCTCAAGGTAGGGATTTAATAGAGTACATATTGCCCATGTCTTTCTGACAACTACAAATACGAAAAGACAATTTGTGTATGAGAATCTGATTTAAATAACGACAAACCGAACAAATTGGACTACAACTGATTATTGAAAACGGACACTACACGTGCTTATCGAGACTTACTATATAAATAATTATGAAGAGCATAAGAAAGTTGTTCGGTACTCTTATTATTCACTATATTTTGATGAACACTACATTTTAAAGGAATATTAATCTCAAACCTTTTAAGTATATGTGACTTTTAACAACAGATTGGTAGTGCGCTGATGCAAGGGACACGGGGTGAGGGCGGATTATTCGGCACATCACCACCGGGCGAACGTCCAGCAGAAGAAAACCGCAGTTCCGGACCTGAAGCGATATTCGAGCCAAATGATCATCAGCCACGCTCATTGCGTTCTGGCACACCCATCGATTGGTTTCTACAGCGGCCAGGGAAGCACACGAAAAAACTGGTGCAACAGATCATGGATCGTGAATTACCCGATCGCATAGTGAACATGATCGAGCAGAGAGAGAATGACCCAGATGGCGGAGATGCCGGGTGCCTGAAGCTGCTTATGTGCAAGAGCTCCCCCATTATTTGGGGCATGCAAAAGTCGCTGAAGCAGCGCCTGAGGAGAAGTTTACCTACAGAAAAGGAAGAAGAAGAGGAAGATCCCAAGGGGAATGATGAAACTGAGCAAGAGTCCAACAGCTACTTCAATACGGGAATATTTTTCCAGCACTTGCCCAGCATTGCCGAGTTTCGTGAGCACGGGGAGCAGTGTGAGGCTCGCTACGCAATTGGCTGTCCACGAAATAGAACTCAATTCCAGACTCGAACATAATTATTAATACGTAGGAGCTATTTTTAATACCTATCATCAATAAATACTTGTTGTTTATAAAGCTTGTGTGCCATTAAATTTAAATAGCTACGACCTTGTCGGTGGCTACAACTGATTGGCCAGATCGCTGACTGCTGTGCTTGGCCTAATGTTCCATGAAATGACCTCTAAAATGCATTTGACTTGTGTAATTTTGCCAGCATCATCATTAAAAAGTGGAGCTTTGCAACGTATTACACTATCAGCAATGATAACGAGCCCGCCTAATCTGAGCGCATTAACTAAAATAAGTACGCCGACTTTATTGACAGAGCCAGCACACGAAGTGCTGGGCAAACGCGCTAATCTCTTGTGAAATGCGCCGCCAAATGGCATTTCAATTTCACAAGGTATTAGATGGTTTCAAGTATTTGTATAGGGTATATAGCCAAAGGGTAAAAGGGTATACTAGCTTACTGCGATTGTAAGAAGGAGTGACAAAAAAATAAGGTTTGGCAGTGGCTTTAAATAATTGCCATCAATTTAAAGTGGTTTTAAAGGTCGAAGCAAATGTTTATTAAAGATGGGCGCACATTTTTGCACTATATACCTATTTGGGAAATATGTGATAAGCCTGAAGGATTGTTTAAATTTAAAAGTGTGTAGAAACTATTGATTCATTAAGCTCTACAATATAAACAATTTTGAAAAGGAAAGCCTAATAAAGTTTACTTTCGCTTAATTTGAAAGTTCCCTGCTGATTGAGAGGGTTTATTAATTTTAGAAAATTTAAATACGAATAAAACCTCTTTTCTTGTTAAGTCTAAATAAATTGTAACTTGTGAAACCACAGGAAAGAAAACAAATAATTCAGAATTCATACCAAAATGGTTTACAAGAAATTAATTTCAATATTTTTTGGTTTACTAATCATTTAGGTAATAATTATTGCGAATCATTTAACAAGCATTAGCATTAGTTTATGATTATGAATACAATATGAAAATATTTACAGATTATATTGTCTGGACATTCAGCGTGACAATAAACTTCAAAGCGTCGGCCTAACTATGCTTATCAAAAGTCAGTGCCCACACAATTGGAAGGGGGGTTGTAGGGGTAGTGCAATGCTATACGTAAAGTGTTCTATAATTGTGTAATTATTAATAACAAATATACTGGCATTGATGAAGGTTGCGTTATGTTATAAATTGAATATCCAAGCTACTATTTTATCATGAACCTGTAACTCTTATTGCTCATATATGGCGTTATCAACAAGGCTGGAAGACCCAGCCAACCATTTTTAGTACTTTTGGCAACCTCTTCAGTTCAATCTATCAATCATTTGACAACGCCATCTAGCGCTTGCGTGCGGCTGTCGCTCAGCCAGCCATTGAGGCGTGCATCATGCATCGGCGGGGTTAGGCGGGGCATTTTCGTTTGCAAATGATTGTTGTAATTGTCTTATTGATTGCGCAAAAAACGCAAAATATACAACATAGTGAAGAGTGCCTCCGGGGGCGAGTCGACGCGTAAAGCTATATGCCAGACTGGCGCCGAGAAGTGACGAATATGGCGGTTATTTTTAAATTCCAATCATGATAAGCAAGTTCAGAGGGTAGGTGTTTGAACTTCAGGAAGGTCAAACTTAGACTATCAATTCATTTCTGTTTCGTATACCCTCTCAGAGGTATCTTGACTATAGCTCGTGCTGTGTAATACAGAAATAGAAACATGAAACAAATTCGAACGGGTCTCGTTCGATAACCAATCAAAATTTCCTATTTTTAATGAAACAATAATCGTAGAGTGTTCTACAAAATTGTAAAGGGTATATCACCTTCGACGTGCCACGGATTTGTTTCTATATTTTTTTTACATAATGATTACCAAGTCGGCTATGCATTTTGCGCACCTTTAAATTTTACTTTGAGTTTATTTTCCTACTTATAATGTGCTTAGCATATTAATTTCGAGCTGTAGTTAAAACACACAGCTGTTAGTAATTGTGAGTGCACTCGTTAATATCAGGGAGAGCCAGGCAACGCGAAAAGTGGTTTCTGCAATTGCTGCATGTATCTTGAAGATAAGATACACTTCTAGTTTTCACAAAACATTCATTGACAGATAACAATTATGGCAAAAGTAAAACAAAATAACCTAAGTATGAAAGCTGTTAAAAACAACATTTACAGAACTTAATTAAAGTATCATTTACGAACTTTGCGCACATCATCCATCTTAAGTATCTAATAACTTTAAAGATGTAGACTTTGGCGCTTTTAAATAATTTTATGATGTTATAATGCTGTGGCAGTATTTTCAGCTTTTTTGCATAACTAGCTTAACTGCAGAGTAGCTTTGCATGACTCATAGTATCTGACCATTAAATAAATAAGGTTTGTAGGATTTATCAATCATGTATTTAATAAACTGGGACAACTTTTTTTTTTTAATTAATTGCAATTTTTGTTTACTTCATAGTCCCTAAAAAATCGATCATTTAAGTGCACAACTGTTGCTTAAACATTTTTTTTAATAAAGTAAGAGACGAGGCAATTTTCAGAAGTTTAAAAAAAAGGTTGCAAAAAAAACGAACCTAGATGAGCAGCTCACTCTGCGGCAAAACCATTTTTAAAATGTACTTCAAAACGAAAAATTTCACGGATAATTGGTTTAAGAATAAAGTTAAGAAAGGGACCGAAATTCCGCATCCATCTGTGTAGATAAAAATATCCAAATATGTACGTATCTCCAAGCATTGGAAGCTTTATAAAACATAATAAAAATGATTGTAATATTTGATATTACATGCCTAGGTATTTATGATATTTTTATTGTAAGCAAGCAATCATTAGCATGCAATTTTCACTTAAATAGTGAACAAATCCAATTGTGGTGATAAAATGTTCTTGGCACAAATATCGTATTCTTCTGAGTTATTAAACTTACACCGGCACGTTGTAACAAAATATCAATGGGTCTAATGCCGGATGTCATTGTGCGAAGCAAACGTAAGTATTTATGTTTTTGTTAAACAAACAATTAATTCAACTTTTGGCTCTTGCTTATTTTCAAATTAGGCGCGTAATAATTCAAATAATAATACTTGGTGAGCGGCGACAAGTAGTACGAAAACCGACGACGACGACGATCGCGCGTCGACTGTGCAATTGAAAATACGGGTAGAATTCAATATACTCGTATGAATTTGAATTTGAATAGAGTTTTTCAACGTAAGCGCTCGCACAAGTTAATACCAGCACAGGCCCCAAGCGCTGCGTCAAGTGATAGCGCGACATCTATGTGTGAGTGTATCTGTGCGACAGCAGTGAAACAAAACAAAAATTGTTAAAAGAAAAATAGGAAAAAAAAAACTAAGTACAACACACAAGAGCAAGTCGAGTAGCTCGTCAGCTCGCCGGACACTTAAATGAGCAAGTGCGCTAGAAAAATAAAAACAAAAAGGCAGATAAAGCCACAACAGCAGAGCAGAGTGTTCTCCAAAGCATTGCCAGCGGAGCAGCGACCGTTTATCAGCAACAACAATAACACACAGAAATATATACATTCGTACATTATATACTTGTTATGTGTCTACCTTATAGCAGAATGACAAATGCAGAGACAGCCGAAATAAATAGATTAACTTTTATCGCAAAGCAAGGGCTCGGCTTTGTGGACCTTATCAGAGCACGTATTCACGACCATAAAGCAGAAGAGGCTGATTACAATTTGATTTAATTGAATGATGTGGTGAACATTTTCGACCCACACAGCATGACAGCATAAGAAAAGGTTATTTCAAATACTTGTGACATTATAGTTTGTACATATGTATGTAAATAGGGTCCAAGGTCACAATTCCAAACCAATTGTCCCAACACAAATCAACACAGAGGCAAGATTTTGGGCAAACAAACACACGTCACGTATAAACACACACACATACTATGTACATATATGTATGTATGCCGACAACGCTCAACACTGACTAGGTCACTTGAAGGTTAACGTAAACAGTGCACAACCCAAGAGGTCGCAGCATTCGTAAAGAAAAAAACCCGTCAACAGTCATTAAAGGGTGCAGGTGTTAAATCTTTTAATAGAACTGGATCCAAAGCCGGCACAAGCTGTTGCATTTGCTGGAATGCTGTTGCAGTTCAATGCACCTGCAGTTCCAAAATGCAAATACTCTCTCTCACACATTCGCACACTCAGGAAAAATAAGATTCAGGAGTGAGGGAGTTTTACCGTTTAGTTTCTTAGATACTTACCTTGGCTTCGTGTGGTACATCCAACATTGTAAGGATTGGTTAAAAGCGCTTAATAAATTTTAAAAACGTAAATTCAAATTGCTGATAATTGCTTGCAATTATTTAAATTAACACAGAGGCAGCACACACACTCGACAAGAGAGAGCAAGACGTAGTAGCGTTAAGTACTACAAGAACTCAATAAAACTACTGGCGGGCAAACAATTAAATTTCAAACTAACAAAGAATTTAAATAGACTGGCGGCGTCTCAAAACTGAATAAACACACACGCTCACCAAGGCAACAAAAAAGCAGCGACAACGATATTAATTTATTGAAGTCAGATTTGTGCGGGCGGTTGAGAGAGAGCCAAATAACAGCTGTTTCGCTCTACGTTTAGAGATGGCACGAAAAGCTAGCCCATTAAGGGCAGCGAGTTGGCAGCACTGTACGAAATGTCACAGCACAACACAGAATAAGATTAAAAAGAGTAATGCAAAATAATTGAGACACAGCTGCGCAAAACACAACGAAGCCCCATTTATAATCAAACATTTTTTAAGTTGTTGCTTATACAAATCAGAAAAAAAATGGGTGTCTGTTTATCCTGCTGTGGCAATAGCGCCGAGGAAGCGAATCTGATGCCGTCGCCGGTAATTATAAGTCGAGAAGCCCTCTAAATCAACATAGTATGAATGTACCAACTTTTTTTTGCACTGCAGGAGGAACGTCGTCAGCAACAATTGGAAGCGGCAGAACGCAGACGTCTTGAGAATGAATCGCGTGGTGTTAAAAATCCACAAAGCGTACGCCGACAGCAGCAAAGAGCAGAGGATCTGGAACGCAGGGAGGAGGAGGCAGCACGTCAAGGAGGTGCTAATCCCAATTTGAGGGTAAGTCGATGTGCCACAGGATTATTGGGTGTATACTTATTCTTGAAATTTCAGTGGCAGACCAGCTAAAAGTTGTTCCCGTGGCCGTGCACTGAAAATTGGCCCCTTTTGTTATCACCGTATACCTTATCATTATAATATGTGTACCGTGCATTTTGTATATTCTTGTATATTCGTACCGTGCATAAGCGGTCTTATGGTCTTTAGTGTGGCAGCTACAAGAATATCCAGTGTCAATTAGATATGGCGCTGGATAAAGTGTATTGCTACATTTTAAAAGTACGTATCTATGTATTATATATTTAAGAAACTATGTACTAAAATAAAAAATTGTGATTGATCTTGTCATACAACATTTCAAAAATTGAATATTGTGAGTCCCCTGAAATGAATTTAAGAATAGTTCCCTACTTTGTTGTCGTTTTAATTTTTAAAACGAAAGAAATTCGATGAACACTATAGTATAGGCTCCTGGTTTTGTTAAAATTTTATATTGCACGCTTAAATAAAACTCTCATTTTGTTATGAAATCGTAGAAATTGTACACTACAGTGTACCCGCTTAGCTCTAGAATTATGGTTTTACACACATACATACATATGTATGGATTATCCATCAGCGTACGTTAATTACGATACGATTTTTTGGAACAATTACGAATCTAATACGTATGTATTTAGATACAAAACAAGGTTCTGCCCTATTTCACTTTTGACATATTTGGTGATCTAAAATAAAGATAGGAAAATGTTAAAGTGTTGGTAAAATGCTTACTGGGTAGTGCGGCTCAGCTGTTGGTTGTTGCGCATTTCCCATTTCGTTCTGGTATTTTTCTTTGTTTTGGGTTCTTTTAATTTTTAAATATTATGTTATTGCATTTTGTTATATATATTTGCCTTTTTTGCGCTTGTAGCCAAGCAAAAACCATAAAAAAGGCACAGGCAAATTTAATAGACCCTCAGTTGGATGAATGGCAGGGCAAATGGTTTCCCCACGCTCCAGGTGAGGTCGAGCCGGACATGCAAAAAGTGCAACGTGTGCATTTGGAGTCAGATTCAGTGACCAGTGATGAATGGGCAGGCAAGTGGTTCCCACATGCGCCGGGCTTGACTACAACGCTAAGTGACAACTGGCTGGGCAAGTGGTTTCCACATAAACCGGACGCAAAGGATTTAACAACTGAGACGATTCGGGAGAAGACTAAATATAAAATTTGCGATGATGGTGTGGTATGTGTAGTATGTATAATCAATTCTGACCAATATAATACAGTGCAACCTTTTTCTCAGCACAATTTGGGAGTGGATTATGAACCTTCTGATGTGCGTCAAAACTACAATTTTCTGTGCCTTAGCAGCAACCACAGTGCCTTCGATCCGAGCATGGCGCGTGAGGCCTTGCAGATAGAATATTTCCTGCCCAGCGCCTTCATGCCGCCAACCAAATGCTTGCAAGAGCCCATCAACTATACCCATCAACCTCCAACGAAGTAAGTGAGCCAATATTTTTAACAAATTCTGTATCATCGAGCCGTCTTCTCTTTCATAGCGGCGCTTTTCGACCTTTGCCGGCGGTATATGGGAGCTACAAATATCTGCCGCCTCAACGATATCTGCGGAACTTGGCCGAAGGCGCCATTGTAATGCTCTATCATCCATGTGCCTATCAGGGTCAAGTGGAACAACTCAAACTGATTGTGCGTAGTTGCCTGTATCGTCATATAATCACACCATCGCCATATCTTACGCCTGAGCGGCCTTTGGCATTGCTCTCCTGGAGCAACAGTCTAACCATGTCCGTGGTGGATAAACGCCTGGTGACTCAGTTCATTAAGGAGCATGCCAGGAATGGCCCGCTAGCAGAACCCGATTTCGGGCGCTTCGTGGAAAGGCGAACAACGTACAACGCTGCGCTGCTGACGGAAGCGCATTTAGTAACTGACCTCGATGACAGCGAACTCTGTGGTTACCAGGAGATGTAGCACGTACATATGCATATTTAGCAAAAGGCTAAAGGACGAAACAAATTAGAAGCCAAACTGTGAAAAACTGCAATATATTTTACATTATCTTACCGTACTTTTGAATTCGTAACAATAAAAGGAACCAGTGTACCTGTAGTATTAGTGTTGAAAAGCGCCCAAGGCCGGTGTGGCCAACTTAGCGCATAAAATGATAAAGAAGAAGACTAACACTGACAGACGGTTGTTTTTTCCACTTAAATAGTTTTTGTTTTGTGGCTCACGCGTTCAGTTTGGTTTCGTTTTGCTGTGAAAAACGTCTAATCAGCGTGTGTGTTCCCCTTCGTTCATCCTAAGTTTCACACATACCCAAGTCTATTTGCTTAAATTTGTTTTATTACTCACTCTCAATCGCCCAATCAACACCAAACCAATACAAAGTTTTCAATCAGCTGCTGCCGTTGGAGTGTGTAGGAATCAAGGAAGAGAAGAAGAAGACGCATTTGAGCAGACGTAGAGAGGTGAAACAAAGGAGACGACGACGCAGCGCATACATCATACATAAATACAATTGGAATTATAAATTGCCGTTCTTGACGGCGACGACGACGAGGGACGGAGAGGAGACGTTGACGTGCAACACTACACATCACGTGATAATTACGTGATTGCGAATACGCAAAATTCTGCATATAAACGGACACTCGAGCTCTAGTATCCTGCGTCGCATATTTTATATAACAAGAAAGAGGCAGCAGGCAAGACAATGATGAACAATCTGGCAGACACGGTGGTGCCCGATCCTGGCTTTGGAGGTGGCGACAAGCAAAAGCAAGTGTCGCAACCTCAGGACGCCATCTCTGTTGTGGCACCGCCGGCTACAAAACAATCGTCGGCTCTGAAGAAAACCAGCCGTTATCGGAGTCGCTCCCTCTCCGCATCGTCAACGGATTCCTTCAGTTCAGCCTCCTATACGGGTAGCAGCTCGGACGATGGCGACGATGTGCCACCCCGGGAAAAAGTGCAAAAGAATGGCAAGGGCAGCTCCGATTTCTGTGTGCGCAACATAAGTGCGCAGCACGCGTTTGGCAGGCGTGAGATCGAGATTGCGGAACAGGAGATGCCGGGCATCATGGCCCTGCGCAAGCGTGCTGCCGAGGATAAGCCGCTAAAGGATGCCAAGATCGTCGGCTGCACCCACATCAATGCTCAGACGGCGGTGCTCATCGAAACGCTTGTGGAGCTCGGCGCCTCCGTCCGCTGGGCTGCCTGCAACATCTACTCGACGCAAGTAAGTAGCGCGCATGTGTGCGTGTCTTTCACAGAATTTTGTCAATTTGGTTGTCACGCAACAACATTAAGACAAACACAAACAAATCATCAATCAAACCCCGTTAATCAATTAAAAGACCAGCGATCGCCATTGCCTTAGGGGGTGCAGCAGAAAGTGTTTAGCAATCTCCAATGTTGTGACGATAGTGGCGGCGCGACACTGATGGTAATTGATACGTTCGAGTGTTTGGCACGCCTTTCGGCTCTGTCGCAATTGTTCTCCTACGGCCGCATATAATTGTGCTGAAGGGTGCCTAAAGGGGGTAGGGCCCATATTAAATTTGAAACTGGTTTCTTGCAGTTCGGCGTACGTCACGAGCTTTCGCTTGCTGCTTGCCCCATCGATAGTCATTCCCTGCTGCAGATCGATCCGCCAACAGCATCATATCGTCATCGCAAAAGTCATTGGCATGTCGAATTCAATTAAATTGTCCCCATAGCTGCCACCGCCAAGCGTTTCACACATTTTTATGTTTATACTAATTAGTTATACAAACATTTACACTTCTGCAAGCTTTTATCATTTAAATTGCGAAGAAAAGCTAAACGACACTTGTTGAGAGTCTGATTCACGCCTAAGCAGGGCAAACTTATCAAAGTAGCGGCGCTCTCAAGGTGCTAACGAATAAAGCTCACACGTAATACCATATATTGATAGGTCTGGTCTCTTTATAAGCACTACTTACCTTGTACCCGAAAGTTGTTGCTGTTCTACCTCATACTACACAATAGGGGGAGTGACAGACCCAAGAAGTGTGAAATTTCTTATCAATGCTTCAGATGCTTGATACTATTATGGCAGCTAGTCTTGATATCTAAACTCTCGATCATTAGACAAGAACTAATTAAAGCAGTAATATCTTCTAAAAACAAAGGGGTTCGCATTCTACACTTTGAGATCCTGGGTAGCCGATGGAAGGCGTGGCAGACTCCACATCATATCTTTCTGTTTGTCCGCAAATCATTTCTGATTTCTGTAAAGGGAATCATCAATCTAAGAATCATATTAAATTAGTACACAGCACTACTTCAATAAAAATGCAATCAAACAATTATATGTTTTAATAAAAGTCTGTTTTGTTTGTGTGTGAATGAGTAATCTTTCTATACTTTCCTTGTATAATATATTTTAAATTTTTACAGAACGAGGTCGCGGCTGCTTTGGCCGAGTCAGGCATACCGATCTTCGCCTGGCGTGGCGAAACTGAGGAAGACTTCTGGTGGTGCATCGATCGATGTGTGAATGCGGAAAACTGGCAACCGAACATGATACTGGACGATGGTGGCGATGCCACACACCTCATGCTGAAGAAATACCCAACCATGTTTAAGCTGGTGAAGGGCATTGTGGAGGAGAGTGTGACGGGTGTCCATCGACTCTATCAGCTGTCCAAGGCTGGCAAACTGACGGTGCCGGCAATGAATGTAAACGATTCGGTCACCAAGACAAAGTTCGATAATCTTTACAGCTGCAAGGAGTCGATACTCGACAGTCTAAAGCGTTCGACGGATGTAATGTTCGGTGGAAAGCAGGTGGTCGTGTGTGGCTACGGCGATGTGGGCAAAGGCTGTGCCCAAGCTCTTAAGGGCCAGGGCTGCATTGTGTACATCACGGAAATCGATCCGATTTGTGCACTGCAGGCCAGCATGGACGGCTTTCGGGTCGTCAAGCTGAACGAGGTCATTCGAAATGTTGACATTGTGGTAACGGCGACCGGCAACAAGAATGTGGTGGTGCGTGAGCACATGGACAAGATGAAGAGTGGCTGCATCATTTGCAACATGGGACACTCGAACACGGAAATCGATGTGAATGGCTTGCGCACGCCGGACTTGACTTGGGAGAAGGTGCGCTCTCAGGTGGATCACATAATCTGGCCTGAGGGCAAATACATTATACTGCTGGCCGAGGGCCGGCTCGTCAATTTGTCGTGTTCGAGCATCCCCTCGTTCGCTGTGTCAATTACGTCGGCGACGCAGGCGCTGGCGCTCATCGAACTCTTCAATGCACCACCCGGCCGCTACAAGTCCGATGTCTATCTACTGCCCAAAAAGATGGACGAGTATGTGGCAAGTCTGCATTTGCCCACATTCGATGCACATCTGACGGAGCTCTCTGACGAGCAGGCCAAGTACATGGGTCTCAACAAGGCCGGTCCTTTCAAGCCCAATTACTATCGGTATTAGAGACGACATCTGAGGGCAAGTGCAACGCGTACAATAACTGCAACTGCAACAGCAACCAACATCAACATCATGAATAATAACAACAACAGCAGCAGCAGCAGCAATAAGTAACATCGCCAACGAAAGTATTGTCTTTGCAACAAACAGTTTTACATAATTAAGTGAGAGGGAATTTCCCAAATTGTTGACAGACCACACAAACACAGACACACAGACAGAAAACATACTAACGCTAGAATCAGATAAAGTTATAGATCGATCAAGATCGACCACACAACCGTTGAAAATGATGCGGCGGCGCCTACACAAAGTTACTATGTATTTGTATTGGTTAGTTAGCGAGTATTTTGCTCATAGGTACACTACTAATCAGGAAAATTCTAAAGTATGTGCGCTATACGGCTAATAGCATTTCAGTTATTTTTGCAATTTTCAACGCTTTAGAATTTAGTATTTGTATTTAGTTTTTTGTAAACTAACGAAACGCTCAGTAAGCTCACCCACGCATTTTTAAATACCAACGTGCATACTATTTGTATTTAGCTTCTTCCCCCCTCCATATGAACACTTCCAATTCAGGCAAGCCTGCTAACAATTTTTTAATCCATTTATACAATTGATATGCGCTGGTAATGCATAGCATTAGATTTAATCCCCAATAAGAAGTACATGCAAATATTCTCTTTAAAACCAATGGCGTTTAGATTTCGGATCAATTTGACTGTTCATCTGTCCCTGCTCCCTCATTTAGGTGGTGATTGCAAAAAATTAGTAGAGCCGATCACAAAATTCGCTTTGAACATAGTGTATCGAACTGGAATTTGTATTAATATGTTAAACTAAACAAGCATTCATCAAAACTCGCATTCTTAAGATCGCGATTATCTTACAAGTGTATCGAGCATTCTAATAGCTTCTACGAGTGATTTCTCGTTAGCTTGGCATTTCTTTTCATTTGTAATAAAAATATCACAGATATTTTGTTGGAGTACCTTGCGATAAATATAAATTAAAACACAAAGCTAAAACTAATGAATTTAGTTTTATGAACGGTTAAAATCTGAAAAATTAGTCGTTGTTCTTACGTGTGATTTGCAATCGCCACTAAAATCAGGGACCAGGGAATACGGTTCAGTGATCAAAGATATCTTTGGAAATGCGCCAATTGATTTTCAATTGCTCTTTTATACGTGACTCAGAAATCGAAAACCGACATACGAGTATAGAAAAGATTGATTTAAATTGCATTTAAATCACTTGATTTTTTTGATGTAGTATGTTGATAGATATGTGTACGCCATGGTTTCAATTTGTAATTTGAATGTTCGGGCACTTAAAACTTTTATGCACCACTCCATAATTCGACACACACAATTATAATATTTTATTATGTTTTTATAATCCTCTATTTCAATCTTTCTCCATACATACATAATGTGTACTTAATTTTTCCTCCAGAATTTAGAATTTATTTGAAACATTTATTGCCGATAATCTAGAATTTATTGTTTTGGAATGAGCACAAATGTATTTTAAACTGTACTTACCGTATCTCATCATTTAATTTTGGCACAAAATTGGTTTAATAAATTCAAAGGTGACAAAAAATAGCGCTAGTGCTTAAAAATAATTAAAATGCAGTGCAAATATTTCCATTTATGCAATTACATGAGGTATGTACTTATATATACAGGCAGGCGTACTATATTTATATAAATATACAAACATACATCTGTATATCAGATAAAGAATTATATATACACATACATATATTATTAGAAAACTTTATGTATAAAAACGAACTCTGAACAAAAAAAACTTGTTTGTAAAAACACAAAAATTGTGAAAAAGGAAAAAAAAAAACAATAAAAGCGAAACCAATAAATTGAGTTTAATTGTTTTATTTATATCCGCCCAGCATGTTCTAGTTTTGAATTATGCGACAAATTAGCTCAAAAACTTTAAGTAGTAATATTTTGGTGAATGAAGAGAATATCGATTCAATTTATATTAAGCATTCTTCATCGCTGCATTTATAAATACAATTTGTGAATGTTTCCACATTAGATATCAACTATTTATGTATTAATTTATAGATCACCTTTTTACATTGAGCTAAAGTCCAAGGCCTATCATATTAAATGCAAACTAAAGAGGCCGAGGCCTTTCATATTAAATGCAAACTAAACCTATATAAAGGTACGCAGGTGTGTGAAGATAATTTGATTAAATCAGTTAGAGTTCCCACCCAATATTGGTATATTATTATTGGAGCCACTAACTCAAATTTTAATTTTTTAGCAACTTGTGTTTTTTTTTTTTGCATTAATTTACTTTCCACCTTATCCTTTTGATTGCTACATTTAGAGATTTGAAAAAAAAAACCCTATGAATAAAAAAGAAATCTAGATACCAGTAAAGTCGAATATACTTATATTCTAAAAGGCGATTACTTACTGCGAAAAATGTGAAATTATGCAAGGCCGATATGGAAGAACCATTATTAATAATCCTTGAGAGCAGATCGCGTCTTTCGACTTATTCCACCTTAATCCTGTATTACACAACTTGTTAGTTAATAAGAGATGTGGCTTAGTCACAAAGACAGCTAAAACAAATTAATTTTAGATTCAGATGCATCGCTTGTCCATTTATTTGATATCATGCCGTATGTTTTCTTTGATATTTATCATAAGTTACACGATTTGATTACAAAAAATATAATTTTTGTATGTTACTTAAAAATGCCGTAGACTACATAAATTTTTGTAGATTCGTCTTAATTAGGTTAATGCTAACACATTGGATGGGGCTCAGCTGGCAACCCCCAAGTCTACATCGTGCAACTAAATGTTATAATTGAAAACAAATAATTAAAAGCCGAAAATTACAATGAAAGACTAACTAATATTAAACGATGTATATAGTATATATATGTGTTTGTGAGGGCGTGCGCTTCTGTTTCTGCGTACGCTGACCGTCTGCATCTGGAGTGCTACTGGCTAGTGCGCCTGAATGGCCGTTTAGTCGAGGAAATGCGGCTTCAAGTGCTTCAACATGCCGAATGTGCGGAAGCGTTTCACACGCATTACCTTCATCAGCTCATCGTCGCATATGGCAAACTGCTTGTTTTTAGGATCGTACAAGTCCCGCTCCTTGATGATGGCCCAGACCTTCTTTACAACTTCGTGGCGAGGCAAGGAGTCAGCGCCCATTAGGGCAGACAGTTCGGGAGACAGGTTGTAGGCGCGTGTAAATCCAGTGCCTTTGCGGCCGGTGCCGCTGCCTCCGCCGCTTCCAGACTTGGCCTTCTTCTTGGGTGAAGTTTTCTTTGGCACTTCATAGTCGGAATCGGAGCCAGCATCACTTTCAGTGCCAGAGTCATCGGCGTTGATGGACTTGCGCTTCTTTTTTGCAGCCACCTTGTGCTTGGTCGGCTGTGGGCGTTTCTTTTGTGCCGGCTTCTTCTTCTTTTGCTCCTCCTCACTGGAGACATCATCTTCTTCTTCGCTGGGCTCGCTATCCTCTTCGGCATCAGGATCTTTATCGTCGTCCTCATCATCATCTTGTTGCTGTTCGTTGATTACTTCCATTACGATGGCATCAAATTGCTTCTTGCGGCTTAACAGTGAACAATTTAGTTTGCTCTCCACCTGCAACAAACATAAATCTTACACATATTTTCTTCATTTTCCCAACACAAGTCCAAATTTACCTGCTCGCGCACACGCTTTGCCGAGATAGTGGCCAAATCGGCATCCTTGAGGACCGCCTGTATCGAAAACAAAATATCGTGTGTATTCTTTTTACTGTATCCTTCATATTTCTGAGCCCGCTTACCTGTATCTCGCGGCGCAAGTCATCAGTGGAAACGTCGGACATTTTGTTCTCTTTGCTTCGTCGTTTTGTTGTACACGTTTCGGCAGCGCTGAGGCGTTTAGTACACGTGAATGCTGCAAGTTGCGGCTATTGCTTTACACACTTATGCCTGAATACTAGTCGCACTTACCGTTTATACTTAAATAATTAATAGTTTTTTCTTAATGTTTATGCGTTTTCCTAATTAGTGGTAGAGCGGCTCGTTTTTTCTTTATACCCGTCCGGCGTCGGCTTGGAGAGGAGCATTCACGCTATACAGACCACTCGCTTCTTAGTTATCGACAACTGAGAATGTATTCGATTAAGATTCGGGTTGCCACCTAAGTCAAACTTTTCGCATAGTTTACTTGGTTGGCCGTACGTGGCGCTAGTATAATTATCGTAGTGCTCGACGTCTGTGCATAAAAATATAGAATTTAACGTTTTTCGTGCCGTAATCAATGTTTAGACAGTAATTAAATGTGCAATAAGTACCTAAAGTTGCCGATACAGACCATTGTGCAATGCCAGATCGATTGTTTAAAGTGCCCCAAGTTGCAGCGACAATAACAATGCGAATGCCTATGGGGCAGGCCTACCAGAACCGTCAACAACAACAACAGCAACATTAGCAGCAGCGCTGAGGTAATTTTGCTATTTTTTATGTTGTTTTTTGTTTATTTTATATCCACTACCATTATATATACATGTATGTGTGTGTGTTTGTACTGTTCTGTTTCTAAATTTGCTCTTGGGGTGCTACCTAGTGACGTCGCAGTCGCTGTCGCAGCCGCGGTCAGCTGCGACGCCAGTGCAGTGATTTTTGTGCTCCTCTGCCTCACGTTCATCATGTTCATTTAAGCTTTAACCAGTTTTATTTCTGCATTTCGTTACCCATTTGCTAATGTATTCGTACACCATGTACTGTGCTGTTTGCCTTTTCTTCATCCTTTGCTTTGTGCCTCTCGTTCGCGTCTTTGTTTTGCCGGCGTTCCGGCCGTTTTTGCGACGCCCTTTTCCAATTGACATGCACGTCGACCGCGACGCCGACTGTGCTGGCCATGTGGCAGTCGCTGCAGCTGGCAATGTGTGTGGTGTTTTTGAACCACTGTGCGAATTGTTGGCAAGGCAGGACTTGTGTGTTTGCAACACCTGCATTGGAAATGCGTCAAGTCTGTGCCACTTCCCCCCAGCTGTAGTGGGCGGCACATACAAACATGCATACCCATACTTATGTATGTTTATATGTGTGTACATACATATGTATATATAAATATGTAGGTGTGCATGTGGGGTGTAGGTTTGTATGTATTTAGGCGCATCCATTTTATAGCTTTGTATTTTTCCACTAGTTCTGTAAGCCGCATATACATACCTATACGTATGTGTATGTACATAAGTATATAAAAGCGTATACATATGTATGTATATACATACATGTTTGGATGTGCTTTCCTCGGATTGTAATATTATTAGCTGATTTTATTATTTATTGCAGCGGCTGTGAGTTGCGTTGTCAGGCAGTTTGTGTCTGCCATCATTTTTTGTGTTTGTTGTTTTGTTTTTGGTTTCTCTTTTAGTTTGTGGTTTGTTGTTGTCGCACTAGTTGCACAGTCGTTGCTGCAAGTTCGCGCACAGTGGACCAAAAGTAAACGAATTTGCTAAATTAATTGACTATTAATCTATTGCTTGGCGATAGAGCACTATCCCAAAACATCCGAAATACTTTCGCGAGGCGTTGACATTAATGACCAAAATAGTAAATGAATTGTATGTTCTGTAGAAATTATGCCTATGCGAATTTATTTAAAATGAGCTGTGTACGTGACAGAAATGCCGTTACAGTCACGCACATTCACGAAATATATTTATACATATGTATTATTCTCAAATGCATTATTTTTTAAATCGATTTAATTTTCATGATTATCATGATTTTCATGATTTAATTTTCATGTGTGCTATTCTTCAAATACAGTATTGTCAGACACGTAAATAATTTTCTTAAAAATTTCACAAGTATGCTATGAATTTAATGTTATTTAAATTAGAAACAATACCAATTTTATACAAGGTATATGAAGTTCATAAAAACGGACCCAACTTTATGTAAAAAATTACCTGCATGTGTGAACTATGGTATTTTTTTTTTTTTTAATTTATGTAGCGTTGTAATATAAAAAGATAAATGCTAATCAGCATGACGAGACGATTTAATATAGAACCATAATAGCTAGGAATACCAAACTTGGAATAAAGATTTGTGGAAGTTTATAACAAATCATATGTAGCGTAATTATCTTACAAACATAGCTGACATATGACAATGTTGTCTATTGGCAAAGCTCTTAGGTGTATAAATATATGTATTAGATGTCAGCAAGATAACTCAGAGAAACCGTTAAGTTCCCTATATCGTTTTTATTATGTAAAAAAGTCTTTCATAAACCTTTAACCGAAGTTTTCATTAGCTATAACACTATACCAAGACTCCCATAGGAGTGGCTACTTGTATTACAAGAAAGTTTATTTAAATTGGAGGACTGTGGCGGAGAGAAAAGTTATGCCAGCTCTATTATAGGCAATAAGTCCATAAGTTGAATGTTTTCAATATGATACTACTTTCTGCTAAGTAAATACATATGCATTAGAGACATTTCACTGAATTATAATTAATTTTTGGAGGATTTAAAAAAAGCTATAAAATGTTAATATTGTATAGGAAAGATTCATTTTAATTTAATATCGACAGTTACTCGAAGCTATTAAGCTTTACCTTTTAACAACAAATTACACTGAACTATGTATTTTATTTTGGTAACAATGCACTTAGTCATCACAAATATTCTGTTTAGAGCAACTGGTCGAATACTTTCTGCATCTACTGTGCGGAGTAAATAGCTTGTTTTCGTACCAATTATTTGTTCTTGGCATAGTTTTCCCCACCAGAATGTTCATGTCTAGGTATATGTATATGTATGTGCATGTCTTTGCTCATTTAAGTAATCACATAAATTATTGCAGATTTCGAAATCGGCAGTAAAATTTTTGGTCTAGCACCCTCCAAGGGACATCCCTGATTCTTTTAGCTATAGCTTTTGTTGCATGTGGAAGCAACAGGTTATGTTGATCAGCAGCTATAGGGCTTAGGATCTGTTGCCGGCACCCACGCCCTCTGCCACCCTAGTTCAACAGATTGAACCGATGGGAAGGAAGAGAAAATGCTTTATTCGTGGCTCCCTGTTTGTTTATTGCTTACTTGGCTGTTTTAAACTAAATATCAGCAGTTTCGTCATTATAAAACGACGTCAACGGCAGTCGGCGCAGCAGTTGGAAAAACTTTCGCACGGTGAAAAATGTTTTTCAATTTCATTTTCTGGCCAAGTTTTTGGCTGTCCGAGGAAGACACCCACGCTACAAATTCTGACGCGTTTAAATTGTGTTTTTCTTTTGTGTTTTTATGCTGCCCACTTTAAAATTTATTTGCATAAAATATAAATAAATACATTTGCATGCAGGAATATATATTTTTAATAAAAAATGCTACAAATTTTGCATAAAAATAACTGAATTTTTTTGGTCAGCGATGAAAAGTGTAGCTCTGTAGAAATGTTCGTGTCCTTTTTAAATAACTTTTTGATTTTAAAATATTATTCTTCGTAGATATGGGAAAGTTCTTAAAGCATTCAAAGTAGACCACCCACTTGCCTTAATTTAAATAGTTGACCTTGAACGGGTTGAACGATGATTGCCTCACAACAGGCACGAAATAAAAATAAAACTCATATGGCTTCGTACACACATTTTTGCATGTTTCAGCATGTGCACACATACTTTTTTTCTTTTGCCATAAATTTGGGTCTTTCTGTTTATTTTTTACCTCGCCCCCGACATTGCAGATGCATTTTTCCCATTAGTGCATCAGTACCGCCTAGTTTTTACGACAATTTCTGGGAAATCCGCCCCCAACAAATGTATGCAAATCTTGTGTAAAACTCTCGCATCTAGGTCTGTTCACATTTTCGGATCGCATAGCAAGTGTCAGAAATTGCTATTCCGTTTGCTTCCTTTGTTTAAGTGAAACAATTTTGATTTCCCAAAGTCTCATGGAAGGGTAATTGCTAAATCACTTATCAGTTGTTTTATACTTAAAATTGATTATAGGCATGCATTAGCAATATGAACCGAAATGTTCCTAAAATGTGATATCTGGCCAAATGAACAAATTTGACCCGGACCCAAAAAAATTGTTATAGACCTCGGCCGGGATGGCCTTTAGTTTCTTCAGCAAATGACTTCACCTGTGACTTCAATCGACTATGTACGAACGCTGCTTTTTGTTTCGTTACCTCTACTCTAGAATGTTTTTTCTAAAAATTGAGCTGTTTTGTTACGAGTTTGGCGTTGATGCATTTCATACCGAAAACATCAACCTCTGCCAACACGCGATGGAAACACAAAATTTCAATTATTAATTATTTCATTTCTTTCCGTATTAAAAAATGCCAGCAAACTTTTCGTACCAAACACACACTATTTATATATTCCGTCCTAACTTCACAATCTAAGCGAAAGAAGATTATTAACCGTAACTGTCGGAATTGACTTTGCATGCTGGAAACCAATCGGTGTTCCATTGTTCATGTAGTTAGGATATATTTATGGGACTACAACAAGCTTGAAATGAAAAGAAAGGATTATAGGGCTTATTAATCCTAATGAAACAATATTAAGCAAAACTTTGTCAATATTATTTAAAAACTTTTCTCACGTTCATTTCACCATAGTAAAATTAAATGTTTTGATAGTAGTATTAAAAATTAAATGTTTTTCAAATTAATTTGATTTGGTGAAATTATTTGAGTTCAGTGGAAATCGAAAATTACTTATGTATTAATACCTATGCTACTAATGTAGGTATAACCAAATTGATTCTACAGAAAAGAATTTGAAATCGTAAGAATTTATCGTTTTGCGGAATTTGGAACACCATTTACTCGTAAGACGGATGGACATTAAAAAGGGGTGCATCCCTGATTTAGTTTTTCTTGTCCGTCAGCAAAAACGGCCCACGTTGACTATTTTACAGAAACGAATTTTCTAATCAAAGGCGTCATAAACACGCCCACTGTGGCCAGACTTCTCCTGACAATTTGGCCATAAATTTAAAACATATAGTAGATGTCATTCCTAAAATGTTGGCATTTTCACAGCAATCTTGCATTTATTTTCCCACACAGAATTTGTCACTAAAAGTCACCAAAAGCGAATGTTGAGTCAATATTATTATTTTTAGTTACAACTGATGGGGCGGGTTGCGGGGGCCGCAGGTGAAACTACCATTCTTGATTTATTTTTGCCAAACTTGTGGTCGAACTTTTGTATTTAATATAAAAAACATATTTTTTCGTCTATATTTAAACTAATTAGTAGTTCGTTCGGCGCTAAATTTAAACTGTATTTCTCTTTGATTTTTCGCTTTCGCATTTTTGGCCGCTTGATCGAACGAGCTGATGGGATGGGCGGGCGTAAGGGCCTGCTGGCGGTTCGTTAGTCATGCAGGTGGTTCTTTACAAATCGAAATAGCATATATCGGACAATGGGCCCCGAAAAGGCTGCCATTGTAGCTACATACGTGTACACAAATAATTTTGCCAATGCTCGCACACTTTATCGCATTCATAAATTATAGTTTATAGCGGTAATTGGCCTATTAATGTTGGCCATTTTGAAAATTCGTTTACGAGCGCCATTATCTATGTGGGAAACTTTTAAAATTATGCTCAAGGTCGTGGGTATAAGAAGCAATATTAGCTATGAACGGCAATCAAAGTTCATAATACCTATACATCAGATATTAATTGTAATGATATGTATATGATCTTCCCAAATCGCCCTTTAATTCATTTTTAAATCGCTTAACATTTTCTGGCTATTTATCCGAAACGGTTTTAAACGATTTTAAAACTATTTTATTTTTCCTCTTCCTTCCTACTTATCTTAATAATCCAAAGATTATGAAATAAAATGTAGATATAGTTGTACAAGCCGATTAAATATTTAAAGCAAATTTGGTCCTTAAAAAACCAATTACTAATTATATTACCAATTACTCATTTTATTTTAATTATAAGTTTTTAAATAATGGGAAATCTGAATCATCTAGCCTTCAGAGTTCATTAACATTTTCCTGAAAATGTGCTAACCTTTTAAGTATCGTACAGCGATTTTAAAGTAAATTGGTTTTCTAAACATCTGTCCATTTATTCATGCAGTTTTTCTTTAAAGCCTTGCTAGTTAGATTTAATTTCTTTGGTAGTTCACTAATCGTTTGCCATCAATTTGTCTTGAAAGGCTGAGTGTCGGCTTCCCTTGGCCCAAAAACCTAAATATCCACTGAAATGTGGAATCCTGCACCACCATGTGACACATGCCCGCCCCAAGAATTGCCACGTAGGGTACAAAAACAACGAATTTTCTGGGGAGCGCACTAGCTAGCGTCCACAAAAGAGAAAAATATAAAGAATTTAGAAAACTTTTGAGCATCTTTCGAAAATACGCCGTGCGGCAATGTTTGCCGCGATCGGGACTGGGGAAGAGAACAAGCGAGAGAGTAGCAGAAACGCTGATTCTCGACTCTTGCCGTCTGTTTTATTTTCGAAATATTTTCGAATCGGAGCGCCGTCACCACCGTTTAAGAAATTATTGTTGTAACAAATGTGAAAGTTCATTGTTTCATTGAGGAAAATCGTGAAAAAGTTTTGGGCCGAGCCAACGTCAAATTATCTAACAGCTCGCCATGCTCACGTTCGAAACGTATGTATATTTTCGAACTTATGTGCAGGTTCGAATTGTGGCCCAATCTGGCGGATCTGGCGGACGATCTGCCGCGTGATTGCTCAGTGGTCTCTGCGGAGGTTTCACGTTTGAACGTCCTAAACAATTTCTACGGCAGAGCAGCATGCAAAAGCGCAATGTGAAGTCAAATACTAGAAATAGCTGGCGTGACGTCCCACACAGACACTGACTGACTTGGCAGGCAGTTCTACAAGTATAGCGAATAAAGTTAATTCGAACCACTTTTTGACTGATATCTGAGAACTGATGCCCGATCCGATCAATTTGATGAGAAAGCAAAAGTGCGCGTTCGTTTCCCCAGGCTCGGCGCATAACGATAAGTGAAGTGCTGAGTAAAATGTGAAAAATCCATCGCATGCTAAACGCCAACATTCCAAAACGACAAAAAACGTCAGTGGCGACAAAAAATTCAATTCAATACAAAGAATAGAAAAAAGTGTGGCAAAACAGAAGTTGAAACTTCAAAGATATTCCGGGTAACGACAGGTGGCTTGCAATTTTTCTCTCCAAAGGCCGAAGAGTGCGTGTGCGTGTGTGTTTGTGTGTGTGTGTGTGTGTGTGATGATTAGCTTTTTAGCTAATAGTTTAATTGTTATTGTGCATTTGTAACACACGCTAAACACACATTATTGGCCGACATTGCCGTCATCCGGCAGCCAGTGGTAGCGGGTGCCACCTTCGCTGGGGATCATGCCGGTCATTGCTGATGCTACTACCAACGATGAGCCACCAGCAAAATGTTGCAAATATTGTGAGGGTATGCCTAGATTTTATTACACATTTATCTAATACTACTCTTACTATATAGTACATGTATTTCCTTTCTCGCCAACCTTTCTCTTCTAACACTTCCTTGCGAGTTCACTAACCCCCGGCGTGCCTGCAATTAAGTTTAAGAAAATCAAAACAATTATTATTCCACCGCTTTACCGTTGCCGCCCTTGCCTCTGCCGTCGCTCCGCCCCCTTCCCCCTTCCCACTCAACTGAAAGATTTATGCACAAGTACAATATGTAGAGTTCTCGAAGCGGTTGTGGCACAACTTGCAGTACGTACGAGTACTCGAACTTGTAATCGACTGTCCGACTGGCATTAAATTTGTGCGCCGCTCTTAGTTCTAGTTTATTTCAATTTTTTTTCTTCTTTTTGGCATTTGTTTGTTTTAATTTTCGTTTCTGTGGGGGCCCTCTGCGCCACAGCTGTTAGATACTTTGTTTTTCTTGCGTTTGTTGCGTCTGAAGAGCCGCTGACGTGTCTACTTAAAATTTTGATATTCTGCTTATGATTTCATGTCAGCCACAGCAGCAGCAAGAGCATAGACCAACTTACTATTAGCCAACATTTGTTGCTGCCTCTTAAAGCCATCTATTTATTTGTTTTTGCGCCTGTCAAAGCAAGTCTGGCAGAAATAATGACCGGAAATTATTTTTTTTTTACCAACTTTTGAAATAAATTTAATGAAACTCCATTTAAATGTGGCTAGAGTAGAACATTTAGTAACTACAAGAACTAGGCGGTTTCTTTGTCAATGCCTATCTAGTTTTAAGCGATGCGGGATAGGTGGTCGGGAGCTAGGAGGGAGGGGCGGTGGGCGTGTTGGAGGTTTATTTATAGAACATATATAATGTATCTGAGAAAAAATGTCTACAGTCAAAGACTAATACATAGTACATACGTCAAAATAACAAACCAAAACTCAGTTACTTAAAGAACCAAGTGGCAATGTCTATTAAAAAAATCGGGAATATTCTAGAACTTTTCTTTAAAACAGGCGCTATTTAAATAGCTTTCAATATTAGTGCTCTGCTTAACTGCTTAACTGATGATTTAATATAACTTATTAAATAATCTAGCATATTGTTTAAAATTTATTATAATTTATTTTAAGTCTACCAACACAAGCTGATGTAAACTTTATAATATAGTCTTATGAGCTAGGAAAGCTTAAGAGGGAGCTATCTAATCAAATTATAGTTATATCTAATAAATCTAAAAATGTAAAATATGAGCAGCGCTCAGTTTCAAAATATTTTCCCTTGCTCAATCAAATAAACTAGAGGAAGGCAAGCGTCCATAAGGTATGGAAATGATTATCGATTCTAAAGCTTCTCCTAAAAATCCAGAGATGCGTGAAGAATACTAAAATTGTATCAATGGGATTTATCAATATATGTTCTGGCCGGTGGGCCTATTTCCATATTTGCTTTAAAACTTGATAGTTAAAAATTGTACCATTTAAGTCGCACCTTAGCTAAAGAAATGCAAAAGAGTAATTCTAGGCGTTCATATTCAGATTTTTATTGATTTCGATTTTTCGAATTAAATGAAACTACCCAAATTTCCTTCATTTCATTTTAATATTTAATTCAATGCAACACTTTTCACTCAGACACAAGACCACTACAGACTTCTTGAAATCGTTTCCGATTATTAAAACCACTATTGCCGGGCCTTAGTCGCAGCAACTAACCTTCCATAATATGTCTTTATATCAATAAAACTGTTACTTCATAACAACGGAATCTAAAAATATTTGTATTTAAAGCGCTTAAAATTTAAATACTTTTACTACATTTCTAAAAATTACAATACAGTAAGTACAACAATAAAAACAGATGAAACCGGTTCGCTTGATAAGAAAGTTTTTGATTGCTTTTATCGCTTGCGTACTTCTGTGGTAAGACCACAAATAATACAAATTTTCTTTATCGAATCTAAAAGTGTTGATCTGGAATACCTCAAAACTGATATTAGGTTTGGTTAGACCAGTGGTCCGCCGTGGGCAGGATAATTGGCGATCGTTTTGAAAGCTGGTTAGTAGTTCACTGTTCAAACTGTTCACTAGTTCAAAAATTCAATTTTTTATAGAACATAAATATATGAGAAACATTGCATATTGTTTAGATGCTGTACGCAGGTGTTTCTAGCAAATATGAACGCCTAGAATTACTCTTAGCGCAACCAACTTCTTATTTACAATCTTTAACTATCAAGTTTTAAAGTAAAAATGCAAATAGTTCCATCGGCTAGAACATTGATACAATTTTTGTATTCTTCACGCATTTCGGGATTTTCAGGAGAAAATTTAGAATCGATAATAATTTTTTTGGGTCCATGCCTTATGGGCGCTTGCCTTCCTCTACTTTATTTAATTAAGATAAATAATTAAATGGAATCTTACATCAAATGCAGACGTATACATATGTTTAGTATATTCCTTACAATGGGAATGGAAACGTAATTACAAATAAATAAAAAGTGTATTCTAAGAAAGCAATGAATAGTTGTATATGTATATAGCGCTATACTGTTTTAGCGACTTGTTTACAACATGTTCATTGTTTACAACGCGATAAAACCACTTTTATTTTTTATTTTTTTGCTTGCGGCGTACAGACACCAACACAGAAAGTTTTCCAAGCCTTGACACTCTTTCAATATATACGAGTGTTTCGATATTTTGTTTACAAGTTAAACGATACAATAAATGCAGACTATTATTTCTATGATATATGTATGTATTTCAGTAAAAGAAATAAGCAGAGCCTTAATTAGCCTCCCTGACACTCGACAATAATAAAAACAAAAACAACAACAACAATGGCAATTTAAAGGGCGACATTTATGCTGTTTATTGCTGTTGTTGTGCTTCTGGTCGCTTTTTTATGGCCTTTTCAATGTAATTTTTAGCGTCGAACGCTTGGTAACAAGGTGTTGTGTTTGGGGTGGTGTGTATACGTGTGGTTTTGTATGTGGATTTGGTTGCCAAACACTCTCAGTAAATGCTGGTGCGACTATTTTGGGCGACTGTTCTGTCATAGCGCAGCCATTAAATAAAATAACTTTATTATTAGTAGCCTAATATGTAGGATAGTTCCCGAACAATTTTGAATTGGGGCAAATCTAGTAGTTTAAAAAATATTTCATCATTTATTGGAATAGTTCGTAGGGTTCTTAATAAATAAAGCTTTCCGCTTCCTGTTCAGTTATATTTAAACATAAAAGTATAAAATTATGCTACTTTCAAAGTCGCTTTAGTCGTCTTTAGAAAACTTAAAAATTCTCATGTTACACCCAAAAACAATATACACAAGGTACTAAAATAAAACAGCATACAAAAAAGAAAACTGTAAAAAAGACAGTTGTGGCCAGGAACTTGGTAGACACCGTTGTGGAAGCAGATGACCCAGTTTATTCCAAATATTCCAACGGAATTTCGAATTCAATTGATCGGCCGGCACCATACATATTAAATTAAAATGGAAACAATGATCTTGACGTGATCTTTAAAATTTGATGATTCTAATGATTCCGATGGATATGCGCTGTGTTGTCAGTTGGGTGTTCCTATGCTATATCTACGTAGGCAATGGAAATGCATACAAAAATATATGGTATAGAATTTAAGCATTAAGAACCCTGTGGCTTAGTTTTAGGTATTTCTGCTCACCCTGGCATCAAACAGTTTCTATGAATAATATACACATATATTTTCAACCCGATTACCCTGTACTATGATAACACCATAAACATTCTGTAAATCTAAACTGAATTTCGATACTACTTAGCAACTGCTTTCGAAGTGCTTTCTGCTCAAACACCCATGTGTGAAACACTCAACTGTGTTTCCTTTACTATCTGTAAGTACAGAAAGGCAATACAAATTGTTGCACTTTCATCACCAAAAGTATCATGAATAGCAATAACAAAAAATAAAACAACAAAGCCGCAAGCAAAACCATCCGAAGCTGGGCGTCCATTGTTTTTTTGCAACTCTTCTATGCGCCCAAGTGTGAAAAACATGCCGGAAAATTGCCGAGCAGACGCACCCACACAACCGCTCAACAACAACAACTATCTCTTAGTTATTGCCACTGTCTCTGTGTATTTTGAATTTTGCCCATTTTTGTAGTCAACCGCTGTAGCGAGCGATGGCTCTAGCTGTGGTGGAATGGCGAGCTGCTGTCTGATTCAGCTCACCTACTGACGTCTTTTTGCCATTTTGGCGTACAACGCGGCGTATGAACAATTTTTGCCGTTTTCGCGCTCAATGGTCGTTCGATGTGCCTCCACCCATTGGCACAATGTTTACACATAATAGTACGAGCAAAACCGAGAAAACCGACAACAACAGCAACAGCAATAGTCAGAGTCAAAATTCATGTAAAAAGTTATACTTGTAGAGTGGGAGCGAACCGGGGGAATGAATGGGCGGTTCCATGCATTACTTTTGCATATTGCAGACATATGTTCTAAAAGCCACATGAACGAACAAAACAACAGCCACAACAAATAATAATAATAATAGTACAGCAAACATAATGTACGTACATACATACATATGTAACTGAGTATGTGTTGGTATGTATAGTTTACACACAAGCAAAAATTTATGCGTTTAATTTTTTGTTGCTGCCATATTTGAAATAAAATTTGAAACTTGGCATTACGAGTCCGAAATTCGGGGAATTTTTTTTTTTTTGAAGCGCATGCTGGAATAAAATGGAAACAGGCATTTGCGCAAATAAACAAAAAAAGAGCCAACAACGGCAAAAAATGGTAAAACAATCTTATAAATGTATATACTTGTATGTACATACTTGTATGTACGTGTGCGTAGAAGGAGCGGAGTGGGATGTGGGAGGTCTTAGTTTTCTTCAATGTGGCGATCAGTTGGGCTACGGCTGATGGTAGTGATGCTGCCATTGTAGTTGTTTTCAATAAACGCAGCAATTTGCGCTCGTTGCTTAGAAACATT